TCTGACTTGTTAGCTATAAAAAGCTTTGCTACATTTTTGCAGATGCTCCTGCAGCCCTATAGAGCAACAAGTGGGTGCATGAACACAAACAGCTCACAAGGATGTTAAAAGGGGTTGTTTGAATTTCCGGGACAGAGACAGAGAGTCTAGATGTCAGAGTGTGGTCACACTGTCAGTGTGTGAAAGTTGATAAACAGCCTTTTTACAGCTAGGAGACAGGGAGGCGACTTCTTTTATGCGAAAACATAAAGCGCTGACTCTTGTGATTTGTTTCACTTTCTTATTTGAAGTACTCTACTGGTCATTTTTATTCTTCTGGCTTTGCAGAACTGTGTTGTGGCATCACATTTCTAATGATGCTTAAATTAAGCCAATGAAGAAAAGATCATAAGTATATTCCTCGTCCAACATTCATGTACAGTTCATGTACAGCACTTTTTCTGTTTTCTTGTAATGGGACTTCTTGTTGTTGCCACCTCATTAAACAGCAGACACAGCAATCTAAGCCTACGGGTCTCCCTGAGGTTCTACTTTATCACATGATGGATCGAGCTCATAATCGTCTGAGTGATCCTGTGTCTGCATGCATGCAATCTCCTCCTGTCCCAGGGCCACCAGCTATATGTCTGGAAAAAAACCCACTGTGTTTTACTGCTCCTACATTAGTACCCAAATAGCCACATTTTCAAGCTCACTATATGGTTTAAGAAAAATACTGTAGGTTTTTACAAGAAATTTTCATTCAGCTCGTTTAAATGAATGTGGAAACTTTATGGTTAACAGTGAAGTCTTGATGTAGTCATGATGCACATCTTTGATGTTAGGCTTGCTGTGTGTTGAGTTATGACTGGGGGGGTATTTTCTTCCTCATTTTGCAAATGTCATGATAATTAGATGAAGCTATTCTCATTCAATAATCTTAACATCCTTTGGTCTGAAGCTTAGTGTATTGAAAGAATGACGAGTGAACATTCTAAGGCATTTGACTATTCAACAAATATTTTGGAAAATGAATTCACTTTCAGGAGATAAGAATCAAACCGTATTTGCATTGATTAACCTTTCAGTACATCCATACAGCCATAGACACGCATGTATGTAAAAATGAGATAATAAAGTCATAACAATGAGATACAAAAGTCATAATAATGATAACCAAATTATGAGATAAAAAACCAGGGATGCCATCTACTACCGTGAACTTTTGCCTACAAAATAACTGTGTGACACATTGACGGTTAAACGGCACAGTCAATGCTACGTAAACAGTAATGTAATATGTTTAGTTCCAGCGACAACCAGATTAAAAGACATAACTATTTATTATGTATCTAACATTTACTACATATGGCAGAATTAGGATTGCTTGAATTGCCTTAGGATTGCATACCGTTTACTCGGCTGGGCGAGTGAGGGGATGCGGGGACTGCAATGCCAGCTGGAGCACATGCACACTTACCAACTCGTAATTTCAACTTTTTATCCCATAATTTGATGATAACCTCGTGTGGTCTGTTTGGGCAATGACACCCACAAGGGCCAGATAAAAAGCTCAGTCTAAGGACAACAGAAATAAATAAGTCAAGACATTCAAGGATGCATCGTGGTCACATTGAAGACTACATTCAAGGAATGTACACACAGGCCCCTGGAGCAGAAGTCACGGAATAAACCACTGTGCTACAACAGAAAGGGACACGATAAACAAAGAGAACATTTTGATCTTTATTATCTCATAATTTTCGATTTCATTTTAATTTTTTTAACTGGCAGAAATGGGCTTCCATACATTAGACTCATATAGAGCGGCCTCTGAATGATTTTTAATTCCCCTTGAATGACAGACCAATGTGTTACATTTTCAACTCATTCTTGTTGTTTGGACGAATGCGCCTGTGTATGCAACGTCAACATTTTGCCAAATGTATTTTGAAATATAGGCAGGCTGCAGCAGTAGGCTTGGTAAACTCTGTCCAAAAGGTCAAACTAAAATGCTGTTGGGCAAAACTGTTGTGATGTGTTTCTTTGCCCTGTTGCAAATGTTTTGTGTCCTTCGAAAATGTCAAAGGTATTGGTTAACTAATGTTTGCAGAGAGGATAGTCAACCTGTCCCCTCTTTGTTTTGCCTTTTTTAGGAAAATGTTCTACGGATTACAGCCCAACAGAAAAAGATACTGCCCCTCCCCCTTTTTTTTAACCTTTGCTTAAATTCAGTGGCATAAAATAGCAGACATATTGCTCTTAGAGATTTAAAAGTCAAGTGCTATCTGTGTTTGTGGAGGGAATCTAAAAGTCATATCCTCCTCCCAAAAGCAGAACTCAGCTAATCATAAACTGAAAGAGAGTTCAACTATAATCAAAATTAAAAAAAGTGTGAACAAAACTCTTCAGCTAAAATGATGCACATTTTGATCTATCAACATTTATTCCCAGCATTAAGACAAACTGTTTGTTTCCCTTTTAGTGTGGGAACATTTTTTTGGTATCATCTTGTTTCCTAAGATACAGTATCTGCAAGATAGAGGTCTGAAACAAAAACAGGAATTATTTTTTTCGGTCAAGGACGAATCCTGACCTTGGCCTAGTGGGTCTGAAAATAAGCTTTGTGGTACACAGCAGAGTGGTTGAAAGTGACTTTTAATACAGAATAGTCCAGAAGAGAGCCATTTATACTTTTTTCATGCAGTGTCATATTCAGTGGTCTGAAGCAACATCTTTCTCATTTAACTTTTGACAGAAAAAATGGCGATCTGTTTAAATGGTTGAAGTTAAAAGTACAAGATGAGTAAGCTCTTAGTAAACACTACAGATACCTTATGAGAGCTAAATATGGCTATCTGATGCTGTCATCTTGTCCTGAACAACCATGAACTCATCCTCTGTGTGTGCCTGACCTGAACACAAATTATATATTTGCCAAACTGTGCTTTCAACCTTCACAAACACAGCTTCCCACTGGAAGAAAAACAAATAACAGCTCTGCTTCCCAGACGTGGTTAGAGAATGGAAAATGTAAGCTCCTTGTATTGTTTTCTGTGGTCATTGATCATTCCCTCTGGTAAGGGTGATGTAAACAAACTTTCCATGTGCCAAACGCCATGAAGTGCTTCCAACTCACAAGGAGTCCAAGCCTGCTTTAAAAAAGGGCCTGTGATCCTGGGAAACTTCAATAGGCTTGTGTGTATGTGCATGTGTGCGTTTACTTGTGTACATATTTTATTCTCCTGGCTCCTGCTAATCTCCTGACCCCAGATGGAGAACAGCGGGAGAGCAGATTGTATTTCCTGCTTGATTTAATATTAATGGATCGGTATGCTGCTCTGCCACACTCCTCTCAGGGCAAAAATGGATGACTATGCCCCCTTCTCCCCAACGAAACCCAGCCTCTCTGCTTATGTAGGACACAAGATCAGCGAGGAAAACTTCATTAAGAGTGTAACGTGAGCAGGTGTGAAGCCCAGGACAATGGATCTGCTGCTGCAGCGATCCGCAGCCACATGTTATGGCAGTGAGGATGACACTCACCGATGTTTATTGAGCATCGGAGCTTTGTATTCAATTATTCATATCAGCTTTTCTATTCTTAGAGGATTCATAACAACTGTCACTGACTGTCCATATTCGTGGGAACAGCAGTGCATGAATCTCACAACCCGTCTTTCTGCTGCTCTTGATTCTAGCGATGTTCACTGTTTGAAAAAGACAGCTCGTGCGAACTAACATCTGAATCTATTTAATGAGGTTCATGAACAACGGTGAACCACAGAGGACACACTGCTTCTTTATTCTCCTTTATGATAATATTTTCAATGGCAGATAGTAGTTTACCTTGTTCTGGCAGGACCTATGAGGTTATTACAAACTTGACCGCATGTGCCTATAAATGACTCCTGTTTTTGCTAGCACAATAAAGTTATCTTTACACATGCACGTTTGTTTGGCTGTATTTGTGACCCTGGCTGATAAGTCTGAATACTGGTCTGAATAATTACCCATGACTGACTGCATTTATTTGTGATTCTTCTATTTTATCAAAGACAAATTCAACTTTTCTTCAACTTAATTTAAAACAGATGCAAACTCATACATCATGATGATAGAAACTTCCACCAAAAACTGCTCAATGAGTACTTATGTCCTGTTAGTTGGAACATTAGAAGACTGAATCAAGGAGCCAAGAGGCTTTACAATTAAGTAATTAGCGATTATTTGTAGCCCTTTAAGGGATTTTTTTTTTTTTATGGCTTAACATTTTAGAGAAAAACTCCAAAACAGTTCAGATGGAAGGTTGGATTATAGTCTATTGAAAGTGTATTGGATATGGATTTAGATCAATTCTGACCAACCAGAGTTTTAACAAGTCATTGAGGACTAAAAGACAAAAGCATTCAAACTGGCTTTAACTATTCTAGGATGTTAGTCTAAATTTCTCAGACTATAAACCTAAACTTTTATACCAAGTTATTAACATCAGTCATATAATACTATTCAAGTTATTATTCATAATAAAACAAGTCATACTTCTACTATTATTATTATTTTTGGCTTCCTACTACAACTGTATTATTTTTGCTGCTGTGTGTACATCTTTGCCTCTGTCGGTCTCTATCCATCTCTCTCTTTCACACTTTTTCGACACATCTTGTTGCTGCAGATCGCTGTTCACTGAAAGCTCTCATGTTCTGCTCAAGGTTTTTGTCTGTTAAAAAAAAAAAAACAAGTTTTACCTCACCACTGGTGCCAAGTTGATGGATAAATAGACATGCATTTCATATAAAGTGCCATTTTGGACTTCAGCAAATTCAACTAGTATGACTGTGTGATAAAAAAAAACATGCCTCTCAACCTGTCCAGCCCATGAAAAAATATTGCTGACCAAGCACATTGCATCACACTGTGGGGCAGCCAGCTCAACAAGCTGTACATTATTGCTTTGCAGCCGAGTAGACTATTATTATACAAGGTGGGGGTTGATGTAGCCTAGGCCTATATGCTCTAAGTGCAAAAGCAAAACCTTCAACAATGCAACAGCACCTCGTGAAGACGCAGATGAAAGGGGTGCTTTCATTTAAGATGTGTTAAAACAGGAGGGGGGCATCATAAGTCAGAGACACCTCATGTGACTGTCGCTGACAAACTGTAGTGTGGCTGTAAGACCCGTGAGCTGCTGCTGATGTTGATCATGTTGACTGAGGGGGGGTTCTTCCTTCTTCGCCGTGCCACTCTTAACGTGAAGTGGAGCTGCTGAGAGACGGACAGTGAAGGGAAACACGCAGTCAGCGTGGTCGGAAGGGTTCTTACACGGATATCATCAATATGGCTTGGAGAGGAGGGAGATCGCGGTCGTTTTATCGACCTATCCGTCGTTTGAACTGAAAACCGGCGTTGTCTCTGACCCGTGGACTCGAAAAAGACAAGAAAAGGTGATGTCTACCGTTATTTTTGATTACCTGGAAAAGACGAGAAAACGCTTCTGCGCCGTGTTTTCAGCGGCAGTGATGATGGTGGTTAATTCCGTGTTGTCTTAACCTCAGCGGTGTCTTTTGTACTCTCGTTGTTTTTAAAACGCTCATTTAAAAAAAAAAAGAAAAAAAGAATCCTCAGTGTGTGGGCTGTTTCTACCACTGACTGCGTTTGCTGCTATAACACATAAACCCATGTCTGACCACAACGTTTCTCAACCAGTGCTGCTGTGTTTTTACACTGCAGGCCTGCCGATGGGATCAAGGCAATTTTCTCACCGTGCCAACGCAGCGCTGTTAGCATAGCGACGAGCTAGCGCAGGCTAATTGTAGCTGTAACGGATTGCTGCTTTCTCTGCTAACTTAATGTGTTTAAACCAGCTTTTAACTTGTGTCCCTTGTTCCGTTTGATTGAAGAAGTCAACAGAAACCTTCGACATGCCTGTAAATACAGCGCTTTAACCATACGACATTAGTGTAGTTTCAATGTTACACAGGATGTGTTGAGTTTAAACATTGTGTTGTGGGACTACCTGTGCGCTTTTGGGTACACTTTTAGTTTCTCCTGCTTTATGACCTTGTTTGTTGCTTTTCTCCCATGAATGTGTTCGGGTTTGACAATGTTCAACACATGGATTACCTGCGGGGGGGAAGTAAACCCAGTGTATTGACTGCTGTAGCTGCTTTTTTTTGTTTCATTTTCATATTTTATTTGCTCAATTCAGTGTATGGTTTCAGCACAACAACAAAATATTTTCTCATAATGCTGAAACACTGTTCATGAGCAAACAGGAGCAGGAAGAAGAAAACTTGTGATACCTGCCCTCCCCTTTTCCTAATAACACAAGATGCTGTTTAACAGAATAAGATGGCTAACCTGTTGTTTTCTCTTTCTTTCACAAAACAAAAAATAGATGAAAAACTACAATCAGTTATATTAACTCAATACATTCATCATTTCCCAGAACCTTTTCTTTATACATTCTTTTAAATTGAATGACACTTGAGCAGCATTTTAGATGATTATCGAGGGAATTCCACAATTTAACTCCATTCACTGAGATACACATTTGTTTTAATGTAGTGCGTGCAAATGGACTTTTAAAATTAAATCTCCGTCTATGATCCTCCTCATTAGATGTAAATGCAAACAACTTCTGTACTTCAGTGAACTAAAAGTAACAATAAATGCTTTTGAATGTATTCCACAGGTGACTATTTGTCATTAGAGACACTTTTTAAAACTTCAAAGTCAATATTAAAAGTCAACCTGAACACATGGCAGTTTATCAGGTTACATTTTGAGCATTGAATGTTGTTTTTATGTAAAATACACAACATATTATTGAGAGGTTGCATTATACTGCAGCCTGTATGAGGGAATGCATAGAGAATTAACACGCTGCATATTAAACTGGCGGATAGCATCTGTTGCCTCATGTGGATTAGGACCTGCTCTTTTGAAATGCATGGTTTTGCAAAGGTATTAGTCTTATCTGGGCTCAACGTGCCTCAGAAACCTCCCTGTGCTGAAGCTCTAAGTCCTTCATTTGCACATGCCTCTGGCTGTGCTCAAGATCACACACTGATGCCCTGGATGGAATTTGATATATTTTTTTTAACATGTCACATCTAAGAAATGCAGCACAGTATGTTGTGTTCAAGGACACCCTGTTTTTAAGAGACGCTAAGATCAAAATTCTTGACGTTTGTTTGAAAAGAATTGAACAGTCATGGTTTTGGGTTGCATTTTCCCATAACCTGGCCACTCAGACACAGAGATGACTAATGGATTGTCTTGTATGCTGTCAGGAGTCGTTTTGACTAAACATGATTCATTACCAATATTGCAGCATGTTTGGCTTGTTAACATATTCAATTCAATTTATTTTGTATAGCGTCAACTCATAACAAGTGTTATCTCGAGACACTTTACAAAAAGCAGGTAAAATACCTTACTCTTTGTCTGTTAACATTACAAAAGAGCAGGTAAAAATACCATACTCATTGTTATGTTACAAAAAGCAGGTAAAAGACCTTACTTATTGCTATGTTACAAAAACCCGGCCTATCCATCATGAGCATTTTAGCAAAGCAGCAAAAGTTACAGTGGTTAAGAAAAAAAAAAGATACATATACAAAGTAGGCAGTGCAGTTTCAAGATCTTGTATGCCCAAGGCAGATAAAGTTAACTTAGAAGAGAGATGAACTAAACAGAGTAGCATTTTTCATTATTGTTGACTGAATACATTTACAACTATAAGGGGCTAGCACACAGATCCCCTTTTTGTCGGATGTAATTTTCTCTGCAGCAGTGAGGGTGTGGTTTCCTGTAAACAAAGTAAGTAACAGTTGCAGAGAGTGGTTTTAAACGGATGATATGACAGCTTGTGATAAGCAGCCTCAACCGTTTTAGCGGCACATAGAGACCGAAAGAGCTCCTTTCTGCCTCTGTTCGTCTTTTTGCATCTCCCAATGAGGCAAGTTTACCCCATGCTTGCCACATTGAGAGATGTGATGAGATTTATGCATTTAGCAGACCAAAAATGATCTTCAATGAGACCCTTTTTTTTTTTTTTTTCATTGGTTTTATTATATTTCTCCTATTTAATCACCTCCAACCTGTCTTCAATGTTGACACCACCTTTCTCCCTCTCCCCTCCCTCCCTCTCCGTCTCTGTGTGTTCTCACGCAATGTTTTACTTTGTTGATTTATGAACGTCAGCTGCTGCTGTTGACATAAAGATTTTGTTTCCTGGATGAGTAAATGTCCCTGTGCCCTGTTGTCCTATCAGGTGATGACGTGGATGGTGCCATGTGAATGACTGCAGAACATGAAGCCCACACACAAGCTGCTGTTCGTCCTGTGCCCCATGCTGGTTCTGGGCTTTATTTACTACTCCTCTGGGAAGCTCCATCTACCTGTGTGGGGCCAGAAGTCTCGTAAGTGATCTATAAAGTCTTTCTGTAACATGTATTCATCACCTCATCATCCATCTGCCATTCCTTTTGAAACCTACACATATTTGTATCTGTTAGACAACGGCCTCTGTTTTGCTTTTTGCCTCTCTGTGCTCATTGCCAGTTAACTGTAGTCTTTCTGCTACATGTGTCAAGCTGTGTGTTGCATCAGATATTATAATGTCTTTCTTTGATATTCAATACGTTTTTCATTCACTTTATCAAAGCACTGGATGTGATAGGGAGAATTCAATCTGATCTTCTTCAACATTTGGTGTAAGTTGCTCTCTGCTTGTCAACTCCAGATGTGGGTTGTGTGCCATAGATGGAAATGTATTGACATCCCTTTTACCTCTCTTTCTGTAAGAAAATATATGTGTTCACCTAATAGATGAAAGCAATTTCTACTTTGAAAGCATACCCATTTGCTCATTTGATGTTGATGATCGAAGAAATTGTCATCATCCAAGAGTTGCACACTTTGGTGATGAAACCTTTCCTCTCTAAACCAAAAACACAGTTTTGCGACGCCCTTTACACACACTGAGAAAACATGTCTTAATGTCCACTTCCCTCTTTAAAATACTCCTAGTGTGTTTGGGTGTTGGTCCTTACTCAGTGAGACTTCCTCATAATGTTGGATATCCTGAGTTTTGGGTCCATATTTAGAATACAATGATGACAGACCTGGATGTTTGCCTACTGGTACTTTTCGACTTACTGGAAAATACATCTTCAGCCAGAATATATGATCAGACTGATGATGGAGGAGGGCAGGAAATTATCTCACCCTCTGTGGGCGCCCTGAAACAGTTTGGTCAAGTCCAGCAGAGGGGGCTAGAAGATTTCTCTACAACGGTTTTACAACTTTCTGGCCTGTGTACCCCCCACAGAGTAGGAAAACATTTCAATGGAGCAGCTTTTGGCTGAGGAAACACAAATATCTGTGTTTTGAACCACATTCAGGGTTGAGATGGGATGACAAAATGCTCTTTAAAGTGTAAAGCTTGGAGAAGCTACCCTGTGTTTTGTCCTTAATATCTTATCTGCATTGTAAATTATTTTGATGAAACTGAAGTTTTTGTAATTTGATCACATAGTTAACAATCAGTTTGAATTAGCCTAAAACTAACAGAGTCATCTGTCCATTGCTGTCAGGTCCACAACTCTGCCTTTGTGATGAATAAATAAAGTGAAGAACATCATCTGCAGCACTGTTAAATTAGTAGGACTATGTTCTTGGTCAACTATTTGATCATTCAGGTTAGCATGTTGAAGCCAGGGCTGGTGCTGTGGTTTAGATCAATCAATACACACCCCTCTTCCCTCAGGTCAGATGTTAGCATCTGACACATTTGAAAAGAGGTATTTTATTTTCTTGCAATTCTTGGGCAATTAATCAGACTTAGTAACATTTCTGTACATATCTACTTGGTCCAAATGTTGTATTGAAATGGAGAAACATCTGAATATACATTTTAAATTAGGATATTGATTAAGAAAATACCAAGGTTCTTCAACAACAAAGGGGCTTCTAAAGTACTGTGATGTTGTTCTGTGATAATACTGTCTTTTTTTTTTTACTAAACATGACAGAGAGCTGACTGAGAATTGAGCATTGAGCTCAATTCTCAGTCATTCTCATTGAGCATTGCATCCACTGTTGGGAGAAATAGGATTGTTACATTTCCTTGGTCTAATGAGCCATGTGCCTCTGAGTGTAATGACCTTCTTTGTCTAAAGTATTCTGTTACATTGGATCAGAGCTGTGTGAAAGATAAAAGACAACGTATCAGGTAGGCAGTGTAACTGTCTGAAGGGGTTGTCCTGCCAACAGTAAATACGCTTTAAATGAGTCTGGTTTGTCGTTGCTGATGTTGTTGTTGTATATATTGTTATTGTCTTATTCAATAATGAAATAGAAACAATTCTGAGTCAAACGATCCCTTCCGTTGTTCCGATATTGATGCTGATATCAGTACCAGAAATGGCTTTGGCTTTTTTAGCTCCCTAAAATGTTGTGTTAGGTATCTGCCAGTCAAGTCATCCACCAATCCATAGCCCCATTTACATCGCCTACTCAAGATTGGACATATACAGCGCCCCCCCCCATTACGCCTTGCTGTCAAAGTAAATGTGACAGATGGGTAATACGCTGTGATGACATCACCTCAACGTAATGGCGTAAGGGCAGAGATGGTGGATGTCTTACTACCGATTTCCACATACTCCGTGCGCGCAAGCAGCGCCACTACACTCTGCTCTGTTTTAAATAAGCTGTGAGTATATTTTTGACAGAGCACACTGCAAGCACACGTCAAGCTGTACAGAAAAGAACAAACCCGGACAGGAAGTCAGACGAGGAAACGCACTGAGCGACTGGTCAATTTCAAAATAAAGCACAATATACAGACTCAGGATAGCATTTTCCATCATTGTATTAACACAGCGTACAAAACGGGCAAAAAACGATCAACGGATCATCCTCAGAAAGACAATACAACATGTTGTTTGCTATTTTTCTCTTTATTCCTGCGTGATCTTGTAGTTCCCTTGTGGTGTGTGTACAGTTGCGCTCTGCTGCGCTCACGTTCCAGAAACAGACTCAGTGGGACCGAGTGCACGCCATCTGACAGATTTGATAACGATTTGGCTCCCCAAAAAATCTGCAAGTGTTGGGTGAATTGTCATCTATTGATTATGGACAGCAACAGCGCAGTACTAATGGACAGTGTAAATACTGTTAAAGCTGTGACAACCTCTGCAGCCAGTCAAATAGATGTGGAAAGCTGATATACCCAGGTCTAGATATCTGAATCACTGTCAGGAAGAGAAAAGGTCAGTGGAACATCTCTAGTCTGCTCGTCTAAACCTTGACATTTCAAATAGACTGTATTGTCTTTGTGTTTCTCTGCCTCTCTACAGTATGTGATGTAATGTTACAGTTTGAAAATATTGTGGTAGTAGTATGACTTGTATGTCTTTCACTATTTTCCCCACCATTTCTCAACTAGCTATCTGCTCAGTGATGTAAAACATGCTATCTTTATTATTTTAATTGTCTTCCATTTCATCTCTCTCTATATAAAAATAGGCTATATAATGAATATTATAGTGTATATAGTTCCATAGAGAATGTTCTATTTTTTGCATCACTGACTGTTTACCTGATCAACAGATGAACTTTTCTATGCAACAGTGATTTCTCAAGTTGTGTGAAAGAGGGGCAAGTGGAATGAAGGGGAGCTTTGATTGCAGAAAGAAATACTGGTATTTTACATCACTGCTGTGCCAGATGTTGGCTTTGCACAGGTCAGAGGGGAAAGATGAGCATGTGCATGGTCTCTCTTGCCCTAAGTCCTGGTCAACTAAGCTATGCTGTTTCTCTGAGAGGATCAAATCTGGATTATCTCTCCTCTCCATTCTTGATTTATAGTGTTAGACACTCAGTCATTGCTCCAGAGACGGAAGTGGAACATAAAGAGGCTTATGCCCTGCTCATCGAATGTATCGTTAAAAGCATCCTGGTAGTTATCATGTACCTTTTTATATGCTGCAGTTCATTCATTGTTTTATGGCGTTGCATGTTGATTTATAGAGCTTTTATTATCTTTCCTCTGGCAGCAGAAAACAAAGGATTAGGGGTGTGAAATATGAAACCCACCTGAATGATCTGGAAACTAACTTTTAAAGTTTGGTGGAAAACAATAATCAGGACCTCTTATCCCTTGTTAGTTGCATTTCCCTACAAAAAAAAAGTGTTTGTGATTTTATAATGTGCTGTGACAGGAGCTGGATTCACTTACAGTAAACCTGCTGCTGCATGATGATCAACCAGAAGGTTACTTCATTCACAACGTATTCGACTGGTCATGCTTTTCTTCTTTAGGGCTTGTTTTACGATTGATCAGGATTAGTCATGTAGTAATGTTTTGAGTCGTTCATTACATAAGGGCTGAATTCAGATCCTGTTTGAGTATTATTCTTTAATTTTTTTCCCAGTTGACTCCATTAATCCAACACTAATGACTCTGGCGTTGGTTTTACTGTTTGTATGATCATGTCTGCGAGCTTGTATCAATTCCACAGTAGGTTTATGTGACAGTGTTGTCATTCCTTTGTTTGCTGGAGTGGATATTTGACTCTTGTGGGACTTCATTAATAAGGAATATACCTTAGATTTGTCCTTTAACAATAGAGACTTCCATTTCATTGTCAGGGCTTGGTCAGTATATTGAAAACCTCATTCCTGTGTCAACAATAACAACTGTGTTTCTTTCATCTATGAACCGCAGTTCACACGTTCATCCTGATGAGCAAAACATAGTTGATGTGTTCCTGTAGAGACAAAACTGAGTACTAGTAAGGAGCAAACTTTTTGTTGCCTCCAGCTTGTTTTGTGTGTCGATACAGGCAATTACATTACAACTGTTGTCATTGATCTGTGTTCATGTTGTGAGCCAGCTTTTCATCTGATTGACTGATTTAGTGCAGCAGGACTAATGTGAAAGTTAATAGAAAAAACATTGGATGTATTCATGGGTTAAAATTAGCTCACTGCTTAAATTCAGTTAAGGTGTTAGACAAAAGGAACTAAAAAGTGTTTGGCTATATTAATAGACAGTATAGGTGATCGCTGCAGAAATAAAGGTTGGAAACGCTGAATTCAAAGTCAATGTGTTAACCTTTACAGGCTGTGATGGCTGATTAAGGCCCCGTGTCCACCTGACATTTTTTCCAGGCAGAAAAGCGCTGGCTGTGCTCTCGGGGTTGCTTGAATGAAGTGTTTGTTCGCTAATAAGAAAAGAGCGCCGGTGACGTCAACAGCGCCTTTCTGAAAAATTGAAAGATTTTCTTGAATTTTCAATCACATCTCATGGCTTTCTTCGGCAGATTTAGTTTGGTTTGTTGTACAGAAAATTGTTTGCATGCACATGATCGCTAAATTGAATAAAAAAGTCGCTTGATGTTAGTTTTCTCTTCTTTTTTTGACCAGTACTGACTGGCGTCCTGTAAGTTGGTTGTATATTGATAGAATAGACCGATCCCTCCACTGATACCACTGAAAGAACTGGCAAGTTTTACAACAAACTTTATTTGACTCAAACTTATTTTTAAAGGCTAGTAACGAACCATGGGCCGCAAATATTTTGTTGTTTGCAAACCCAAAGCAGAGGAAAAAGAACATTTCTTGCTGTTTTCTTCTTGCATTGTTGTTCTGAAAGAATGCACATTATTTATTTCAAATTATTTACAAGGTGTGTCTTCGTATGTGAATGTTTTTGTTTTGAATTTAACCAAGGAAATGGGTTCATGGCCTAACATGTGAATCCATATGAAAGGATTAGTGTCGTACTTACTCTCTGATGGACGTCGCTTTGGATAAAAGTGTCTGCTAAGTGAATTGTAACATGCTCTGTGGAACGCTTTCCAACCTGGACCCCACAACATCACCTTTTTCATCCCACTGATACAACACACCCTTTTGAAAATTGATGAGGAAAAAGCGTGTCAGGCTTCTCAACTTCACCTCGTTGCCAAAGTTGTGAAATAGGTTGCAGTTGCAGTCAACTATCTTTTTGAGTTAGAGATCCCCAAAAGCATTATTTCTTGTAAGGGTCTGCTCTGCTGCTAGTAACAAGAACAGCACCTCAGGGTGTCAGATCACACTTTAACATTAACACCTGCAGGGTGTGAAATGAATTGTTCCACCAGCCAAGCTTGAATCAACCTGGTTTATTTCAGCCCTAAAACAGTTTTTCTAAAAATAAAATGCAGGATTTAATCAGAAATGTTTTAGCAATGTGGTTACAAATGTTAAAAGTTACATAATATTTCTTAATGAGATATGCTTCCCTCCTGCTTCATGGTTTCATTAGCAGTTAGGTCAGCATTTGCTTGAGTAGGGTGTTCTGGAAATGTCCTGACCCTGGCTTGGTTTCAGCATCAGGGGGATAGTCTCCTGTCTCAGAGCTGAGCTGGTTATCTCTGATACAACTATAGAATTTCAGTCGGAGCAGAGTTTTACCTCAAAGATAGAGTCAGTAGCTTTTCCTAAAAACTGAAGTACAGACATACACAAAAGTAATGCCACTCAATCATCACTTCTGTGTGGTGTTGAGCCTGTCTGCAGAGACCCTCTCCTCTGCCTGGATTTGGAGTTGGATGTTTGGTTTTTGTTGACACGGTTTGTTTCTAGGTGGGGAGCTGGCGTGTTTCCCCCAGCCAATGACAGCGCGCAGGTGAGTTTAGGAGTGGATATAATTCAGTGACGGGACTTGATTCAAAGTGGCGAATATGATGGACGTGGACATTGCGGCAAATAAGAGAAAATATAATCATAGTGAGGCAAAACACCAAGCAGTAAAAGCTTGTTTCAAAACCAGGGTGACTTTGTTGGCTTTTCCCCGCGGACGTGGAGTTGGCCTGCTTGCAGATGGAAAGGGAGGGGCCTAACCCAGGTGGTTAGATTGTGCTTGTTCTCGTTCCGTTTTGAAGGTTTTTCTTTTAAAGCCTTTTTTGGCAGCTGTCCTCTGATTATTATGACATTTTCTATTTGAAGTTAACCTTCTTAGTTAAAAGTCCTAGGTTTTTAACTATTCGTTCAAACTAATTATAATGATACATTTGAAGGAGGAACTTGAATAGAAAATATGCTGCAGCTGTCAAACCCTAACCCTAACTAACAGCTTTGAAAACATTCAGAGTCAGTCAGTTACTCTGGTCTTTCACAGCTGTTAACATGACATTTTACACAAACTGTGTGGATCTCATACGCAATTCTGCAAACCTTTAAAGAAAGACTTGAGTATTTAGTCATTCTTTCAAGTCTAACACTGTATAACTAATGTACTGTCTATATGGCTCTAGAAACTCTGCAAGATCAGCATTAAACCTTTGATTTTTTTCTCTGTCTGTCTGCTGTTGGTGTGCGTTTGTTTTTGTGCGTAGCCGCGATCTCTGTTTTGCTGATGTTGAAATGTTCCTTTTTGAAACCCTCAGCACTATGGTCTTCCGTTTTGTGGTTACTAGTTTCTTCCACAGCTTTCAGTGACGAGTGTCTTGACCACCTTTTGTTTTCAGAGAATGATGCAGAAGGGACAGCTGTAGCCCTGACTAAAGGGGCTGAAGTGAAAAGAATTCCAGGTAGAGGTACTGAGACTCTGCCCATTTATACTGGGTGACTGTCAAATTATTGTGACGCACAGTGTTTTCCCCCCTGCAATATCAACCTCTGCTAATGCAGTAATAAAAGATCGACATTTTTACCACTTTCATTTACCTATCATCCTTTCATATTACCAGTGTGTGCGCTCATTCACTCATTCAGTCTTCATGGGTTACTTTGAATCTACCACAGCCGTAATATTCACACAGTGGGGGCTTTCTGCACTTAATTTTCCACTTCGTTGAACTTTCTGCCTTTTGAATAAAGATTGGGATTCAGAGCTATAATTCAGCCTTCTGGGATTAAAGCTATTAACCGTTCCTTCTTCTCCTCCTCCTCCCTTTTGCTCTTTAATGTTTGACATTTGCAGTTGGCTTTGTTTTCAAGTCCAATGCCAAAACAGACTGACCTCAAACTTGGCTAATTGACATTTTGTGTTTCAGAGTTGGAAACGGAAATCCCCGTGGGACCAATAGTAGGCTCAGGTACATCAGTAGTCCCACCTACTGCCCCCCCCCCCCCCCCAGTCCCTCTGCTCTAAAAGCCAATAAAATTAGCACCTTTTTAAAATTCCTGCAAAGCCTCAGCCACCACATTTGGATTTGGAAGCGTTCAATGTTTTTACAATTTTTTAAAATAATTTCAAGTGATTAAAGTTGTAAAATAATAAATTTGGTACCAAAGTGAGAGCTGCACAGCCTCCACATGGAGCTGCAGTTTTGATGCAACACTGCCCTCTGTTGTTGTGGCTCGGTAACAAATGGTCGGCATTTGAAGCAGTCTGCAGGAGTTTTGGTGCATATAATACTAAAGGGGTTTTCACAGGCCAACATTTGTGTTTTTGGTGTGACCCTGGCTCTTTAATTTCTCCCAAGCTGCTGGCTCGACTTGGCCCTCTGGCTGCTTTATGCTTCTCTCTATCGAAGCATACTTTGTGCACACATTAACTCACCCATATTGGCTGCTTTGGCAAAGTCCTCCATCCTCCAGGGCAGTGTTGGGATTCTTCCCACCCTAACGAGCCATCACGCATTCCCATTGTCCTCTTTTCTTTAACTTTTTCCTTCAGCTGCTCTGTGAGGACAAGATCTGCAACCACAGGAGTAATATCACTCTTCCTGCTTTAACTAATGCTAGTTATTACAGAATTACACAGATAGATAGTAGTAAGATAATGTTAAGTGTTTCATAGACTTTGTTAACCTAATCATGAACAAAAATAAGGCTGCAACATAACATTCTCAAATAACATCTTAATGAATAAATGTCTCATTTTTTTCATATCCTGGTTTATGTGCTTCCTCTGTCTTCTGCCTCAACGCTTCACCTGGCACCTATTGGTTGTCGATAGGTGATCTCTAACATGTTTTCTAACTTTATTTTAAACTCAACAGATTTTTTTGGCTCGCATCTCCCTAACAACGCTTGTTTTATCATAGTCTTTAATTCTAATGCTTTTTTTTGTCTATCACTTTGGCTGTATTGTTTACCCATGAAAGATTCACAGGTTGTTTGCAACTACAGCTAATGAGCTGCCGGATGAACAGTTTCATTTTAACTAACGATAGTTTATGATCCACCGATAAAAGTTTCCATTGCAAAGTGTGACCTTTGTGGTAATGGATTTCCACCTCTTTTTGTCTTCTTTTCCAGTGTATGATAAGCAGGGCTTTCTGCTGCAGCTGGACACGAAACTGTGAGTACTTCTCTGTCTGTTAAACATTCCTGTCATTGAATGGGACATGTTTTACAATTCTCCATCATGTTCTATGTGAGATACTTCTGACTTGTTATATTTAGAACAGCTGAGTTGCCGGTTACACTTTGACTCCATTAGTTAAGAAATGTTTTACAGCTTGTTCATCCGAATACTTTTTCACACGGATTCTGGCTGATTAATGGTGTTACCGTGAAAAATGGTCACGTTAACCCTTTAATCAGTAAGCCAATTCATCAGACTTGATTCTTTTAAATAAACGGATATCATCTTGTTGGAGACCTAAAACCTTGTGACAAATCAACAGATTTAATTGAAGGTCTGAGCAATATACTTTGGAGATTGGTGTTTTTGAGATGTTTGTGTTTTCCTGTTTGTTCCAGAGCGGCTGTTGTTTGTCACGGTGAGAACGCGCTACATGGACTCTTTACTTAGCTGTGATTGTGTCAGCGTGTTTGTTGAACTGTAGACAATTCCCTGAATTGGTTTGACACTAGTTTTAAACTGCCATTGATATAGGACCCTTTCTCTGGCCCTCCGTTTACCATGTGAGCGATAATCTAATGCTGCCATCACCGCCCTCCCACCCAGCTCGCAGAGCACGTCTGTCCGCACTCTGCACGCACACTGTAAGCAGTGTGTCAGCAGTCACTTAAAAGTGGTTTTCTAATGGCTTCAGTTTATCTAATACGGCTCCTTACATTATATCTACAGTGTCATTCATTATTCTCTTAGAACATTTGCATACAGTGGTGCAATTTATCTTCAAGGGAGTAATTACTTTTGTGATTTGGGTTATTTATGCCTAGCAGGTGGTCTTGGCATGGGAGAGTGCCCCCTTGTTTTTATTACTTATCATCTGATGACCAGTTACGGTTAAACTGCAAGTGAGCTAGCCTACTAAAAACAATATATTCTGATAAAATATCTTGACGTAGTTCTTAAATCTTTGATATCATGCCTCACCTAGTGCTAAAATGTTGGCCTCTCTCCTCTCTTTGTTTATTTGAACTGGAATTGTGGCATTCATCAGGTTATTAATGATCGTGCTAGTAATTGGAAGGTTTGCGTTTGAGCCCTGCTTGGTGATTATTTGAACAAGGCCCCTCTGCTTTGTCATGCCACACACAGATGATACGTGGAGCCCTTGCTGAGTTCTCCAACTTACAAGGCAACCAGTTTTTTCTTATCTGTCAGGCAGATTGTTTGACAAGCTCAGCCTTTGAGGCTTGGAACTGTGTCATTATAATTGATAATCAGCTGTCATGATGTGTCTGATAAATCACCTCCTCTTTTCATGTGCAGGCCACCAGAGTTGGCATACAAGTATGGAAACCTCAGCGAAGGCGTGTGCAAGCCAGGATATACAGCAGCCAAGATGACCAACATCTATCCCAAGTGAGAAGGATTTCTCTTCTTTACTGTTTTGAGATGCATGCATGCTTCAGGAACTTCACACACCAAATCAAAAGCATCCTAAAAATAGAAAATATTTTTTTTATTGTATTTCAGCGGGAGAAAAGTTGAAAATGTTTTTGAGCATACCAACATGCATGATGTCACTCCTCAAGCCAGCTTGGCCTTGAGGGGTTTGAGTCAGAAACAGAGAAGCCCCCACATTCCTACCCAATGTTCCCCAGTTTCAATCAGCTTCTCCCCAACCACAAAACCTCGACTGTGTCCTTGTGATCCCTCTGTTACACAAAAGAACCTTTGTCAGTTGAGCACAAGGTCTCCCATCTTTTCCTCCTATCGTATCCTAGAGGCTTAGAGGCTTTCTCTATGAACGACACCAACCAACTTCCTGTCCTGACTCATCACGATACCCAGCCCACACAGTCAACACAATCCTCCACGGCCCTTTCTGATGTCATTGGCTTTTTTGATTTTTGTCTTTGCCTCTTTTTGTCACCAATCTCAGCTTGATCTATAGAGCATTGTCCAAACAGCATTCTTGGAGCTAAGCTAGTAGACGGGCAATTTACTGTGCTGCTGAACAATAGCCATAGGCACTTGATTGAAGTATCTGATATCCTAGATATTGGACAAGTTTGTCGTCCCACTTTTAAGCATACACATAAAACAAGATTTCTCTCTTTCTTGAACATGTGTATGGCTTCCAGTTCCAAAGTTCCCAAATTATCTTCACATATTTTACTACAACCCTGCTACCAACCTCCCTATAAAATGAGACTGGCTGTCCAACTGCTCGAAAATCCAATTAAAAAGACACCATGTATATAAGATGCTTTAAAATGTTTTACTTAGGCCTTCGAAAAATGTTGCTTTCTATATATTTAATAAAATGACAATCCAACTTTGAACAACAGCATCAACAGCACAGTCGCTTGTTAATTCCAGCTCTACCCATTAAGATGGATGAAGCAGTTTTGTGGACCTGCCCTGTACCTATCTGAGAGGCTGTGTGTGTTACCAAAGTCCTCCTTCTTAATGACTTCCTCTAATCAGCCGCACGTGTCGGATCAAAGTTCTGTTAAACAAAAAAAAAAAACCCACCGGGAGTCTGCTGATTATTACCACCCTCACCTCAGTCACAAGCAGGTCAATGAGGATAATTAACGCTGCGCTTTGTTTCCATGCATGGTTGTGTTCGTATGCTAGAACCTACACAGTCTTGTAGTATGGGAGTTTGTATGTGATTTATTATGTGGTGTGTAGAAGGGAGTCAACCAATTAACACTTTGTATGTTCACTTGTGTTTTCTTTCTTAATCTCAGTCTGCTTTGTTTGCTTACCAGGCAAAACAGATCAATTTAGTCCTTGTTTATTTAAGGCCTTGTTAGCATTTTGTTTGAATAGGTGCGGCCTGCAGTTCAGCTGTTAGAGAAAACTACTTAACCTCGAGCATTGAGGTCCCTTGGCTGTCCCTCTAATCATCTCCTGCTTCCTCCGTGTTTGTCTTCTCTGAAGCCCCTGCCCTGCAGAATCCAATTTATTTTCCACACCTCCCCTTCCCTCAGCTTTACCCAAAACTGTTTGTATTGGAGCCCTAAATCAAGTGGTGGCAGTGAACTTGAAGCGGCACGGTTATGAAAATATTTCCCATGAGACTTGGACCTAGCAAAGGAAATGAGCACAATGCGTCTCTGCACGTTGTCTGTTTTGGGAGCCCTCACTTTTTATTTAACAACAAGCAGCTCCCTGTCTCTGCTTTGTCAGGATGTCAGTGACTGACTGTTGGTCAGGGCTCAATGACTCGAAATGGTCCTGTGTTATTTATAGCCCCTCCTGGCCTCAGAAGTCTTAGGTTTAATGAATCTCCATTTGTTTTGGCAGGACAGAAGTCTCTGAATGTGCCCCCCCCCCCCCTGTCAGGTAATTCAGGGGGAGGGAGAGTCATACAGATCTGCCTCTCCTCCCTCTTTGTTTTCATGCAGTGTAACTTGGGGATAATGAGAGTATCAAAGACGGATTAGGGTGCTTAGAAGAAGTTGAAACTAACTGGAAGGCGTCCTAATAATGTCCCCCATGTTTGGTCATATTGCCTCAGTACTCCACATACTTCTTGTTCATGGCATTGCTATGCTAAGAAGCCATCCAAGATTCCTGCTGAGAAACAAGAGTGTGATGGTTCTCGTGTGTCCTCTCAATTCCCGTTTAAAATGCCTTTGCTTGTAAGTGTGGTCTGTCTGCTGCGGTAGCCATGATTTATGTTAAGAAGAAAGAACAATCATTTAAATGTGTTTGTGTGTGTGTGGGAGCAATCAACAGCCTCTCGGTAATATGCCAAAGTGTGTTGCTGGTGGTCTGGTTTCTGCTTTTGAGACTACAATTTCTGTAACTGTCCTCTGTCATAAACAAAATAATGCACACCAGCTCAGTAGATCTTTCCAAGGCGCCCAGCATTGTCTTTTCTGTGCCTGCTTGTGTTTGATTGATCATTTAGGTCTGAAATGGACGTGCATCGAGTTCCCTGCATGTTTATGTGAGCAAACTGTCTCGCTCTCTCGTGTCTCTGCCTTCCCCTGGGCTTGACAGAGGGTCATAAAAACACACATCCATCTTTAAGCCACACTTGGGTTGCAGGCATGACTAAGGAAATGGCTTCTTTTGATTTTAGAGCTGCAGTTAATCAAAGTGGGTCACATTCACACAGCTAACACACATGCACACTAGTACAGACATACAGGATAAGGAAGAGGCGATGCTGGAAGCAGCAGTTCACGGGGCATTCAAAACATCGGTCACAGACATGTCGTTAACTATCAAACTGTATTTGTAGTTTGTGTTGAAGGACTTTTTGCTGCTTGTAAGAGACGTTTAACTTTACACTTAAGCACAGTTTTTTAAGGCCTAAATCTCTTGGTTCACATATACAAACATTCTCCTGTCTTATTCAGTTTGTAGCATTGACTGTATATAAAGCTGGACCATGCATCTCCATCTCCTCCTGTTGTACAAAAGTGAAGCCAAACTATATCTCACAACTGACGCCGACATACTGCGCTGGTATCATAATTTGAAGCCCTTACGTAGTGAATACTGCCATGTTTTTAACGCCCCACCCCTTCTGCTTACCAAAACAAACATTACACATTAACATTTAACTGCAAAGTCCACAGCAGAAGAGATTCCTGTGTCTGTTTGAAGCAGACATCGATAGCTGTGGAAAGCTAACTCACTCCTGGGCCATTATTCCTAAGGTTTCCTCTCGCTGTTCGTCCTCTTCTCTGCAAATCTGGTGCGACCAGCGCTGAAGTAACCATATGTTTTAAACACGCTGTAAATCACGACATTTTACCCCTTTTTATATTGTTCAAATACCTACTGTAACTAAAATAAACTTCTAATTAAAAAAACATTTGGGCACAAAATCAGCACCATAAGAACTAAACATAAAGATGGAAACTATGCTGCAAAAAAATCAAAATTGACGTGTAATTTGATTTAATTATTTGACCCCTGTCCCATCTGTTAACATGAAGGAGACAGGTCAATGACCCATACTGCAGCAAGCCAATAGGGTAGCTTCAAATGATTAAGCTTCACCTTTGGGGAGCTGTGATGTCATCCATCTTTTCATAATGGCTATGGTTTGTAGGAATTATTTGAAGAAAAGTATTCAGTATGTCTATGCAGATTTAGTAGACCCACGTGCTGCCTGAGATTTATTCCTTGGTGAAGAGGTTATGTTGATAGTTTATGTACTGCAACCCTTCAGTGTCTCTCCCTGCCTCTCATGTTTTATTACCCACTTGGTCTCCAGCTACCTTCCTAATGTGTGTGCACACTTGTTTTAGCGGGGCATTTGGGGATGCTGTTAAATTAATTAGATTTAAACAAGTGAATTTATTTATTGGACATTAACACTACTGTCTCAGGTAGCACACATGGGAGGCCAAAAGCTGTGTCAGGGGAATGCAGAACAGTAAAAATCATTGGTAATCACAGGAGGTTGGTAACAAGAGTGGCTGTACCAGGATACGACGTGTGTTGTTCTTGTTTGTATGTTTTTCAGCGAAGGAAATTCTTCTGTCTTATCTTCTTTCTGTTTTTTTTTTGCATCTTGTTTCAGGTTCATGAAACCAGCACCCTTGTTTCTTGATCGGAACTTCAAACGTTTAGCAAAAGTTAGCAATTACTTGCCTCCATTTGGATTCAAAACGCAAGGTAAGACAGGTTTCTCTCAACAGTTGCTTTAAAATGGTGACTTCTATGGTACATGGGAAACAAAACCCATGTATGTGTTTTTAGTCCCTCTGGTAAAGTATAAATTACAGAGTAATAAACCCTTTGATTGAGACGGTATAAAGCTAATGTTTGTTTTTCATATTGTCCAGACTACTTCAAGTTTGATCTAAGTCGCCAATATCACAATAGAGTGTTAAGATAAGTGAGGAAGTAGGCTTGTGATACTTTATCTACTTTTGGTCATTGATGTAATGTGTTGGACTGATCGAAACATTCTTAACATCTCTGCAGCAAAGCCATATATGTCCAAATAGCTGCTTTGTTTAAGCTCTGTTCATCATCAAGGTTTTTCTATGAATCACTCCGGTTCAGCTGTGGAAAATGCCAATGTTCTGCCTCGTTGCACTTGTCATCATTTGTCATTGTTATAAAGCTGCTGTTTTTGGCACTGTATGCGCTGTCTCAGGTTTGTAACCCTTCTTTGTTCTGGGTTGAGACAAAGTGAGATAATTAATTCAGCACGGTGTACGTTTAGTCATTTTAAGTGTCCGCCAGAGTTTTGCTGTCATCAGTAATTAATCCGAATTATAAGTGAAGAGAATTGGAAAACATCGAAGCAGCAGGTTTCTCCTTAATTTTTGTTTTGATGTTGCTGGTATAAATGACAGGCGTCACACAACTGAAAGAAGCAGTTTTAGCTATCTAACACAAACTCTAAAATATTTAAAATGAAAAGTTTGGATAAGCTCCGGATAAGCGGTGTCTGTTGACAATATATTGAGTGAAAGGACACATCATTGAGTACGTTTTTTTTTTATCAGTTTTAGAATCTGAGTGAAACTTTGATTTGATATCATATCAACCTTTGGATTTCATCCACTGATTCAAAACAAGTCACATGCATCCAATGAACATTTAGTTTATTATGCAGCTCGTTTCTTTTCTCTTTTCTCTTTTCTTAGGCTACATGTGACGTCAGTAAACATGAATAGTGATTTCAGCTCATTAAGGAGGACAAGAGTACATCAATACATCGATACTCTTGAGAACAAAATTCGAAAAACATCCCCTTTGAGCTGGAGGATATTTCAGAAAGGAGGAATAGAGAGAGGATTTGTTCAGAAAAATAATTTTCTATTTCTATCTTTCAACGTGACACATTCTCCAAAAACTGACTCAAAGTGTCCACATGTTACTGTGGCAAAATGTCATCCACCCACCTGCTTTATTGCACATTAATAGACTCTAACCTTCTTAACAAGTGGCTCATTTTTAAGTTCATCTTCCTGTTTTTCTATCATCGCTGTATGCAAAAAATCCTTAAACTTCCATTTACATGCTAGACACTGCAAACGCCTTTGGTTGTCATTATATGAAACACCTTACAAGATGTGCTTTTCTTTGTAAGATGAATTCTATCTTGTGAGGGGGACTCATCTCCCTGTAATGCCTCCTACACACAGTGCTTACTTGTTCCCTGACCTGAACACAATCGAGCTCTTCAGATACCAGACAGTGCGATAACATTAACCTGGCTTCTGTGACATACTCTGTCACATATTTTCCAGTACTTAAGATTGGAAGGTACAGTCAGTGTTACCTTTGTGCTCCATTGTTATACATACACACACACATACTGCATAAGTCTATCAAAAGAGCGCTCCCTGTGTGAGTGTCACACCTGGTTTCTGTTTTCCCCGTGGCAGGGGTGGGGTGGGGGGGTTCCCTTTTAGCGGTACTCATGTGGAGAGATGATACGTGTGGCTCTTGAATAGAATGCCACAAAGGATTCCAAATTGGGATCATGGAGTGGTTATGTGTGAGGGCGGGAGTTTTATTTTTACTTTTCATTCTGCAGAGAGGTATCTTTGACACGTCGGCCTTGGCCTGAGAACAGTAAAGCTGAGTTGATCCGGCCTCAGAGAGGGGCCAGACTTTGGAGCTCTGGGCGATCAGTTTGGCTAATAGGCTGTATTTAACAATGATTGTTAAAAATGTACTGAAAATAAATCGTATTCTTTCTGAATAATGTCTTTATGCAGTTTAAAGACTTTTTAAGGGATTTAGCTAAGTGAAAGAGGCCTACATACAGTAATTCCTGCTAGCAGTAGTTGATGAAAGACACTCACAGGAATCAGCTCTTAATAAAGTGAAGTGCAATATACACTAATGTTTCATTTATTTAGATTATAAAGCTTACTGCAATGGCATAACAGGAGTATGCTATTTACACAGGCTCTCCCTGAGTCACATGATTAACTTCTGGATGTGAGCGCCAATTCACTGCTTTCATTGTAACATGAAACCATGAAGTGAATAAATGATAAAACCAGAAATAAGACCGTGAGACCAGAGCTGGTGTGCAGAAGTGAATGAGTATGATAACACCTCTTAAAGTGTCATTTAAAATGCCATATGTAGCAAATGGAAGAAGATGTGTCCTGATCAGCTTCTTCATGTTGATACAGCTGTTACTGAGTTATCACCTCGGATGCTTTCTACATTATAGAAGCAGAAGAACAAACATACACCTTCAAACAAAAGTAGGAGTGTAAGTGTAAAGCATTGACACACGGCTTTACACAGTTTACATTTTTTTCATTGAGTTTTCATGCAGTGATTATTTCACTGTCCCAGCACTGTTTCGTTTGGCCCGTTTGAAATATATGGTCAAAATATGAAGTCAGTTAGATCGGGCAATGAAAAGACATCTCATATTTAACAACATAACAGCCAGAGGTAGGAGAAAGTTTACAGTGCTTCCAACAGGAAATACACCAGTTCAGGTGGTATTGGAGCTAGTCGACGGGGGGCGAGACTAAATGAAACACAAAATAAAAAAAAAAACACTAAGCATCCACATTAACATGCATATTTACACAAGTTACATATCAAATTCATAAAAAAAAATTAATAATAATCCATTTCAATAGAAGTATTTGTTACCCCTCCCCCATCAGTAACAGCTTCATATAAATTTTGACAATGTTGAAAACACACACACCGTTCATTTAGATGAAGTGTGTGTCTGTGCACTGGCTGCAGCTGCAGCGTGTGCTGTATGTCCTCCTCAAAGGAGACGTGTGCGTTTAGGGGCTAAGGTTAAACCCAAAGATAAACCCGTTAGAAGTCTACACACGCCCTCAAAAAACTAGTTACATCCAGTAACGATTACATTTTGGACCAAACACAGCGCTCTGTAACAGAGTTGGTATTTGGCTGTTTCTGCATTGTAAGACAATTTCCAAAAATAACATAAAATACATTTGAACATATTGCATTGCAAAAAGTACCACAAAATATGGAATATAATATATTGCAGGATATTGTAACCCATTCATCATGTCAAGTGTTGTTTTGCTGTTTTGTTGACACATATTCATTCTTGTCAGTACAGAGCTGTAGCTGCACTACAATCAAATGATCGTTTGTCTTTTTCCTGATTAAGTTAATGTTTATTCAAAGCCTTCTAAAGTGCAAGCCTTTCAAATCCCTCCCCCTCCTGATATCTTCTATTGCTTAGGCTACACTCTTCCCAACAATGTGTCCGTGTTTATGTGTTAGGGATGTGTCCGACCTTCCTCTATTTTACCAGAAAAGATTTTTGTCGTTTTCTGAGTTCCATGCAAGCCTAATGTCTGAACCTACAGGACTTTGTCTTTGGCTCATCCACCAGACATACTTTGCTGACATGTTTACCCGGTTACTTATAACAATTAGCTTGCATGTCGTCTTCTGGAAGAGAGTCGTGCCCATTGGGATTCTTCACTTTGCACCCACTTGGATCCAAGTGTGGTCTTTGGCCTTGTGTTTATGCCGCTTGGGGTGATGCTTGATGCCAGACATCGACACCACATCCAAACAATGGGCTGTTGCTTTGCTCGCCTCTCCTCAGCAGGTTAATCATTAGGATTGTTTAGCCAGGGTGAGTGGATTGGTGATACGTCTTCTGAGGTCTCAGTCTGAACTCTCTTTTTTTTCTCCGACTTTTGCTGTTTCTCTTGGCCCCCCCCCCCCCCCCCCCGAAATATATGGTAAAAATATTAAGTGAAAAAGAGAGGCCAATGAAAGACCTCTCATATTTAACAACAGAACACCCAGAGGCTCTATTTTCTCCACGCAGGATGTAAATAAAAGACAGATGATTAACTGCCATCGTAGTTAATCGAACAGGTCCTTCTGTTTTTCTTCCACTTGTAAGGTGGAACAATGAAACGGCTGTAAGGGAATCTGCAAGTTTAGGATGTTCTAAAAGTTGAATTACAAGCATAAGAGAGAATGATCAGGAGCAGACAGAAATATTTCACACATCTAAAGCTGGAAACATGACTGCAGCGGAATAGCCTTTATAACACGGCAAGAATGTGTGCTATGGCTAAACATCCCTGTTTTTCACCCCGCCATCACACGGGTGCTAGCCACGCAGGGAGACGAGCCCAACATTGCCCACTTCACTTTACTCTTAGGAGAATGTGCTTGTTTGAAAACAGCATTCCTCTCTGAGTGCTTTTATGGGAGAGTTTCTACATACACATGCATACCATCCTACACCCTGTATGTCTGTCTGTCCGAAATTCACTCCCCTCAGGATCACGGCAGCTTTTTTCCCTCTTTAATCCCATCAATGCTGTATCTGCAGACTGATTGGTTACTTCTTATCGGTGGCTGAATAAACGAAGAAAGGTGTTCTCCCCTCCAACTGTCTCAAGACCACCTACATTGCAATCGTTCTAGCTGCTTGTTGAAGCCCATGGCAGTTTGTTAGTCTTTAAAAGTAAAAAAAAAATCTTCACAGTTTTTTGTCTCTTCAAATATCTGAATTTCATTATTACATGACATCACCTTGTCTCTGCTGCTTAACTGATGCACTTCTCCATAAATAGTGAAATCCAATTTTTTTTAAAAATCATTATACAGGATAAATTCTCTATGGTGTAACGAGGTGTTAATAGTAATACTCAGTCATTGCCAAAAATGCCATTAACGCTCTGAGTTTATAAACAAACCACTCAGAGCAATACAATTTTACACTCATGTAAAAAGGCATATTTATTTTTTGTAGGGTACTTAACCTATCTTCTTTATCTTCTTTCCTCTCCAGAGAGAATCATAGACAGCATTTTAACTGCCACAAAGAATTACGGGTTGGGAGAGGAGCTGGACAGGTACTTATCACTATTGACCCCCCCCCCCCCCCCCCCCCCCATTAAAAGAGGTCCTGTTTTGGGTATTTGCCTGTTATTAATTGTTCTCACTTCTGACCTTTTCCATCGTGCAGTCTCAGCTGTAAAAAATGCATCATTGTGGGAAACGGAGGCATCCTGTTCAACAAGTCTCTGGGCCCCCCGGATAGACGAATACGATGTTGTTGTGAGGTAAGATGATGTCAGTGTTAGGTTGAAAGCTTTCAATATGTTTGTCCGAGCAATTATTTTCTCTTTTAACACTGTATGTATATTAACTATATCATGTACAGGGCAAAAAAGGTAAGAAGATGATGGGAATAAAAATGTGTGATATGTAATGTATTGTTTTCAAAGTTTTGATACTTTGATACCTGTGAGTACCACATGCTTTCAAACGATACAATCTATATTGTTTTAATGATTGATGGTGTCGTTAAGTGCAGTAAAGCTTTAACAGACTACAGATCTACAGTTACCTCTAGTTTTTGGTCAATAAAAACACAAAATTATCCAGTAAGAGGTGTCTAGGATTTCCATTTTTTTTGCCTTTGTATTGAAACGGGTATCATTGTTAGATTTTTTTTAGTATCATATTAACGTTTTAAAGTCTGGCATTGTGACAACCTATTGTACTGATCTGTATCCAAAGTGCATTAACAGCAGAAGATGCCAAAGCCAAATTCAACCCACCAAGCCTTTTTTTTTTTTTTTTTTTTTTGGCAGGTTGAATGAAGCTCCAGTAAGCGGTTATAGCAAAGATGTAGGGACCAAAACCACCTTAAGGATTACTTATCCAGAGGGAGCTATCCAGAAGCTTGAACACTATGAAAAAGACTCACTTTTTGTTTTTTCGGCTTTCAAACCGCTGGACTTTAAGTGGCTCAAACACATGGTCTTCAAGGAGAAACTGGTAAGGATATTTTGAAATCCCCCCCCACTCATTTGCACTGCAGAGGAATTGTACATGTCTGGGTGTCTAAATTTGTCAGGATGTCTGTGTTATATGTGTTTCTTTTTTTTCCCCAGTTTAACCTCTGATCACATTCTGTACATTCCTTCCTGTGGAAATGCAAACTGTTTTGAGGATGGCATGAATCTGTGTTTTATAAAGGAGATGTTTTAGATGCTTTGAATGCTTAATGTGGAAAGGTTGTTGAGAGAAAGCAATGCCAAGCACACGTCTCATTTCCCCTTCTGCCCATGTGAGCAGAATGGATTTTATTCTGGCTTTATTTATATTTTTCCTGCTTTATGTTAAGTTAATTGTAAGACAAATCTTGTGGGTGTCCTTTAGAACTTAAAACGACGGGCTGTGAATGGACTTCTTAAACATAAAGGTCAGACTGATGACTGAGCTGGTTTTTACTTTCATTGTTAATACAGCCTGTCCTTTATATTCAGTGTGACTCAAATAGCTTTCATAAGCACTTAAATGTGGTTCTTCGGTATCTCGTTGAGATTAGTTTGAGTCCATTCATCTCCTGCTCAGTGGGAGTACTTAGTAAAGCTCTTTATAGAGTCATTAAAGAAAAGGTTGTCATATTTAAAACCTCCACACCAGAGTTTTGTTTTTTTCATGTTTAAGCTCATTTATTACAAATTATAAAACCTTTCGTTGTTGTTGCTGCCTCTTGCTTGTGTTGCTATCTTTTTCCAGGGCATGGAGTTTCGTGGAAGTGGCAATAACAATGTTCCACATGCTTTTAAACATTGCTGCAGTTTGTTGTGAAATAACACAAACACGTTAGAAATGTCAAATTTAGTTAGGCTTAATACAGATACTATGTTGTGCTAAATTCTGCAAAAGAATTAGTACATTTTCTTTTAAAGAACAGGTTACATTTGGGTCCAAGAACTTAACCCCTCCTAAACTGTCGTCTTTTTGAAGGATACTTCAGAACAGGAGAAACCTAGAACAGCTGGGTGACTTTGAGAAAGTAACTGTCAGCTGGATTTTTTTTTACAAGGTGACATTTGTCATGAGTGAAGAAAAGGAGAGGAAAACTAAGAGGAAAGGACGATAGTATTATAATAGGGGATATAAAGGTCATTCAATGGCAAGCTGAAATGGAACTACGGTGTGAATCTGGTGTGAAGGTGAAGAGAATAGAGGAAAGAGAGAGATGGGAAGGGGAAAGGGATAATAGCTGGGGAAAAGAAAATGAGCAGTGGAAGCATCAGTAAAGTCAAATGGAGGAAAATAGCTCGCTTGGCTGGCTGATGGCCTCCTTAACCTTTTGATAGGGCCCAGATTTTTCTGGTGTGTCGGAGGGAGCGGACAGTGGAAATGGCTGCTTGGGATAATTGATCTGGCCTCTGGCGCCCGACTCAGCTTTTATCTTCTGAAGAAGGAAGAATGTTTCTCATTGGTTTAAATCGGGGAACAATAGAAAATGGAGTCTTTTTGTCGGTGCCTTGATGATTATATGGAACAGGCAGATGTGCATGGCTGTGGTCACTGGAATGTCATTATGGTACAGCATTGTAAGGCTGAGCGTGTTATCAAAAGCATACTAAAAGAATACTGAAAATTACAATTGCTATATCGATGAAATTTCCCATTATTGCCAGGATTTTTCCGTGTTTTGGTAAATGTCCATTCAAGCTTTTCAAAAGTCCAAAAGCCTTTTATATGTTGTAATGTATCAACCAAGTTCAATAATCACACTGACTTACATGATGAGTCATATCGTCGCATGTATCTGTCTTTCTGTGTATTTAAAGTGACAACTCCATTAGAGTGAGCAAAGATACTTCATTTCATTTGTCAGTCAGGTGAGTGACATGTGGACTTGAATCCCACGCGTTACAAATTCACGACAGTGTCTGTTTTTTATGGAAAGTGGATTTGCAGTGTTAAAAACAACATGAAAGGCCCTGAAGTCCCGTTAAAAGACTGTTATCCTAGCTTCTTTGTATCTGACTCACACCCAGCCTACACTAATGCAGTGGAAACATAAACATAAAGAGCCGTTTGTGTGTTTGTCTACAAGTGAACTTGAGGACACATTTCCAAAACAGTGACTCATGAATGTCACATTTTTTAGTTTTCACTGATTCTTTCGCTGATAACTTGACAGCAGCTATCTATATCAATTCAAAAGTAAACAGTGGTAGATATTTGGCTTAAAGAGTTTCGATATTTCAGGACAAGCAGCAGAACATCCTCCAAAGATCTGCTTAAATTCATATCTCTCTCTCTCTGCATTATAAATTCAGATGTTTTTTTGTCCCTATTGTAACTTAAGACAGTTGTCCCGTGGGAGCTTTTACGTCGTTCTTTGTGTGACCTCCTTTGTGTCACAGCTTCAAGGGATGCAAAGCCTTTTCACTTTCCCTCTGCGGTTATGAAAGCGAGTGTACGTCTCCTTCTTCTCCTTTTGAAGGGTTAATGGGTGGTACATGCACAGTTGTTATGCAGCCGCTAGTGACTCATCCCGCCAGTTGTCAGTGTGCTTAACTATCCTGCGCTATTGTGGCTTTTCAAGATGCCTACAGCGGTCTTGGGTGGCTGAACAGAGTACCAATTTGTGAGGCAATTTCCAAATCTGTTATTTAGTGTTTTGTAGACTCATAAAACACAGAAAAAGCGCTCCCATTTACTCAAACACGCACAGGCTCATAAACTTCAGAGAGAATTTCAAAAAAATGCCAGATTTGTAGAGTTGACCATGATCCTGGTCAGACACAGTTCTCTTTCTGAATTGTGGCTCGCATTTTGGATCAGTTCAGACCCTTACTACAGACATAATTACAGCAGTGCTGCATCACAAGGCTTCCAACTTCGCTAATCCCTGGTTACCTCGGGTCTCCGTGATTACGACTCTGTCACTCTACTCTGAAGTCCGACCCCACATACACAGCCGCTTGGTTGATTGCCCAGTTGCTTTGTGTTTACGAGTGTAATCAAACATGATTTCCATAAGAGCTGATATTCTCCTCATCGTTTTTTTATCTAGTTTCAATTCTGCCCTCATGCACGGACCACATGCACGCTGCTCCATGCACACAGAGCCGCAGTTGTTTGTATATGCAGGGATATTTTCAAACAGAGCCAGTGAAGGATATACAGCCGGTGGTAAACACCGGTTCTGAAGGTGGAGTGTCGGTGCTCTATCTTGCGTGTTTGTTTACAGGAGCTATCTGTGCTCTCTTACTGGCCAGAGAGAGAAATGATGGATGGAGACAATTTGAGGAAGAGAACACTTCTCCTTTAATAGAAAACCATCCAGAGGTTCCCAATCAGATGGATCACAATGTTATAATGAAGGTGGTATTTGAAGATTCTGCACTTTGAAGGCCCGAGTGTGCAAAATATAACCAAATAGTTGACTTATTTCCAAATGAACTCCTTCCCTTCCTGCTAGAATATCATCCCAATTGTTTATCTCCCTGTAGCACCCAGGTTTTCCAGTTTATAGACAGGCTAGAATAGCCTAAAACGTTTATGTAACTCTTGACTGAAGATGCAATCTGGGGCAGAAGTATCAGCTATAAGGTTCATTTTAAAGCCATAACATCTGTGCAGAAGCCCAAAGTAACATGCATACATGCGTTCATAAACATTTACATACTTGTAAACATGGATTCTGAGCATGATCCAAGTCACTAACATAGGCTCCGGATGTCACTGATTACCATGAGTGTTGTGTTTCAAATATGAGTCACCTACCTCTCCTGCAGTGATTAACACTCCGACCTGTTCTCTGGGCATTATAGTTTATGCAAAGAATTTGTGTAATTCAGTATTTATGGACGTTTAAAGAGGGCTTAGACATGTGACTGATTTGTTTTGTAGTCAGATACCAGCATGTCTTGTCGGTGGGCCAAAGCAGCGACCTCTCTCTGCACAGAGACCTGGTCGAGCAGAGTTTCAGGGTCAAAATGTTGTCAGGTGTTGTTACTGTTTTCACGTTCGCCGTCATGGGAGTGTTCATACACTGTTTTCACACACCGGATAACCTCAGAGAAGCCAGGACAAGAGAAACCACCGTGACCTTAATGAGGGCAGAGGTCTTGGTATGTGTCAAGAAAGGAGATTTCAAATTGGTGAATTCTTTAGATTCCAGGCTATTAAAGGAAATGTAGTAACCAAAGCTATCCAGATTTTCACCTCTTCAGATTGTAGAAATGAGTCATGCCCTACTGTGAACGTCAGCGTAATCACGTTTTGTGGAAAGACTCTCTCTCCTCATTCCTTTTGAAGCGGTTTCTCTCTAGTGGAGCACTTTTGCGGTGAGACAGTGCAACTTGTAAACTCAAAGGTCCAACATGTACACAGTGCTAATGACCTCCAGACAACCTTAATTGTGATTGTTAACAGTTCGGGGCTGCTGATGTTTTTGTTTTTAAATTGCTCAAAGTCTACCTTCCGGAATCCACTTCACCTTATTCTAGTCGTCCTCTACGTAAACATCAAACACAACCACATCCTCAGACGTTTCCAACCCCGGGAGCTTAGATAGAGCCAGATTGTATGGTGGCTGCCTATCAAGGAAGGAAGGACATCCGTGCCATTTCAGCCGTATTATGAGATTATTCCATGAGAATACACAAAAACTTTGAAATCATACATATCGTGTTTGTGGTTAGGATTTGTGGCCGAGAGAAAGCTGAGGTTTGTTTGTGTTCGTCTACATTGAAGCGCTTTAAAGCCACCGTTCGTAAACCAGCAGATGTGAAACTTTCCCCCCATATTACAGCTCGGTTCAGTGCTCCACATTTCTACTCTCGCTCAGGAACTATAAACTAACATGTCTTCCTCTGTGGATACAAAGTGAGTTAAGTTTCACTGGCCGCACTGAAACCAAACCACACTGAAAACCATAAACACAAGTTCCACTTTCTTATTTGGGTTTTTTACATTTGAGAAGTGCAAATGCAGTGCATTTTATTTTTATTTCTTAATCAACTGGAGACGCATGCATGTCATCATGTTTAAGCCCAGTCTAATTGAAGTCTTAGCCCATAGTTAACTTTATGTTGGTATTTTTGTAAATGACATAATATTTTGAGTTTTCATGAGGGAAGTCTGAAGTGCTTATTTCTTTATTTTTTCTAACAACGTACATTTTTAATTTGATCACATATTTCAAGACTTTCTTGTCTTTACCTTCTAACCTCCTTTACATATCACTCCACTTCCCTTCTTCCATCTGTATGATCCCTGGCTTGTCTTGAATTCAGTAAATTCCTTCCACACTTTCTGACACTGCCTTGCTGTTTTGCCAGAAGTGCCGTCGTATCATTGTAATTGTTTAAAGTTTTACTGTTGCTCTCCTACCTATTTATCACATCATCGTTTTCATGTTTTAATTGAGTTCATTTGTTTATTTGAATCAGGCCCAGTGTACAAAATAACTTTAGTCACAGAAGGGATTGGATGCTTTGTACCAGATTTAGCTAACTAGCTCTTTTCCATCTGTAGTTCCTGGGCAGATGATGGCAACAGTAAAATACAGACCAACCACCAATTGAGTGGCACCATTGCTCTTTATATTCACATTGCAGTAGTATGAAACAGTATTTATTGGAATTCTCTTTTGTCAATTTTGAGCTAAATTTGGACTGAAACTTGACTTCTATCAACACAAGTGAATTTGTTTCTTCCTTCTGTACTGCTTGACCTCTCTGCGGGCTTATCTCTGCTTATCTCTGTGCAATTCAAACAATTAGTTCTCCCAGTTCAGGATTGTTTTAACAGGTGCTTTATCAGTGTACTTGGTTTTGTGTACACACTCAAAACCCTGTAATCTGGACTTATCTAACCTAAAGCTGTTACAAGAGAAGAGAGGCGGTCCTTTCAATCGTGACCACAGCCCAGTGACAGCTCAAAAACCCCAGATACACACTTCAACTCACCCTTTGGTGTGTGTGTAGTATCAGCGTTTAGTGACTAAGTGGTGTAGGACAGAGCAGCAGCTTTCTGTTCTGCAGATCTGCCAATGGTTCAGAGGAGCTTTTTTATGACAATCTGATGCACACTCTCATAAAGGTCTGCAGTGGAAACAAGGTTTTTCTAATCCCTCCCAGTATTCAAGAAAAAAATATTACAAATGTTTAGACAAAAGAATCCACCTTTCACGACAGCCCCATAAAATACCTTTTATCTTTGTCAATAAACGATGAGGAAATGATTATTTTTTTTTGTACTTTTCTAACCAAAAGTCAGTCATTAAGGCAGTTTCTATGAGTAACACTGAAATATTTGAGCTTTGGCTCTTTTACACTAGCTGAACATGACCCAGTTTGTTTCTATATTTGAGCAGTTATAAGTTCAGAGCTTTAGCACAGGCAGGGCAAAGGTTGGAAACTGGATGAAGCCTCCAAAACAGTTTAGACGTGTCAGGTATCACTGTGTGCCAGTAAATGAGCTAATCATAGTTGTCAGTGTTATCATCAACTTTCCCTTACGATCCTCACTGGTTCAAGCTTTTTGTTTAAGTCCTTTTGAGTGCATACAACTTCCCACATTCCTAAACTCATAACTGTACCCATAAACCCCTCTCTCCTGACAGACCTGAACCCTTCCATACTAATTGCTCTTACATTACTCAAAGCCACCTGTACTCTAACAGCAGTCTGAATATCTTCAAAGAGATCTCCACCCTGCGACGTTTGTCTCTGTGTACATGTCAGGTCACTGCAGTTTAAAGCGAGGGGTGTGTGTGTGTGTGTGTTGTGTGTCATTAGCGTCTCTCCTTCCTAGAATAAAGACGCATATTATTCACCACTCTCTTTATTCAGCGTACACAGACGCGCACACATCCAAACACTGCTACTAAATAGATTCCTGGCAAACACAAGCTGTGTTGACAGGAGAGATGAGCTGCTGTTCCTGTCACAGCTTGCCGAAGGCACAGAGCTGGGCCCGCGTTCAAAAAGCACCGCCACTGTTAAAGCCACAAAGCCAGCAGACTTGTTGCTACTGCCCCTGCCAACATACACACACACACACAAACCCACACGAACGCACACACACACACACACACACACACACACACACACTAAAGCACTGCGGTATTGAAGGCAGCCCGGCGGGTTCTTGTCTATTTGAACAGGTGATTCCCATTTACATCTGCTGCTGACCCTATTGGCTCCATGCCTTTTAGGAAGTCACTCTGTCAGGGGAGTCAATCACGCACTGCTGGTTTGATGTTTTAGAGAGGACTAACTTAAAAGTTGAATCTTGTCACTTGAAATGGCTCAAAAGTCCAAATCATCTACACTTTAGTGTGAAAGTGTATCTTTCATTTAGTGTGTGTCTGAGTTTCTTGAGTATTTGATGACTGTTCTTTTAAAAATGCCTCGAACAAGTGCAGTCAATCTAAGTTGCATAATATTATTCTGGTGGTTCTGCAGGCCTGTCAGACAGGTTGATGGTAATTACATTGTAAAAATGAGGTGGCACATAAGAGGGTGTGATTGGAACCATTTCCTTTCAGTATTTATTTTATTTTTTTTAACCATTACGATGTTGTGTTTTTCCAAAAAACACCTTCATTGTCTTCCAAAATTATATTGTGCTGTAACTCATGTACTTTTAGTGAAAGGTAAAGAAAAGTCTTTCATTACGCCAAGCTAAAGCTGGTAAATCAGTCTCCCTCCAGGGCAGCTGCACCCTTCACCCACCGCCTGATTCTGCTTCTCCCAGAGCTCATAATTACTGATGTCCTGTGAGCCTCTCACCCTGACTTCATCCATTAAAGCCCCAAAAGCCATTTCCCTAATCAGAGCTAGTATGGGGTCTGGCTTCTGGTTGGCTTCTGTGTTTAATGTCAGGGGTTCAGAGGAAAATCTCCCTTTTTAAAGTGGGGTTACTAAACTGCAGTTAGCTGTACACTGTATGGGTGTCATTGTGGATATGCAAGCTATATGTTTTTGTATGCCCACGAGTCTAGCCTTGAGAAGAAACAGTCCACTGTTTGTGCTGAATAACACTAAAAGTATGAAATCTTTTTTCCCTCCTTTGTTTTTTTGTATCCACCTCAGAGGGGCGTAGAGGGTTTCTGGAAGTCGGTGGCTCACTATGTGCCTCGGGAACCGACCGAGATCAGAATCCTCAACCCATACTTCATCCAGGAGGCCGCCTTCCAGTTCATAGGCCTGCCCTTTAACAACGGCCTGATGGGCAAAGGGGTAAGACACAAGCAGACACACACTCACTGCATCAGGATTTTCCTTCCTTCTATTTTGCAAAGTCAATTAGTATATATTTTGTTACCTTCATGGATATCTGGCGAGCTGAAAATTCACTGCAACAAAACCGTGGAAATGCAACTCATCCAGCAGTTAAAACCGGATACAAAGTGATACATATTGATACTGAGTCTCTGCAGACAGTAAGCTCACATTATATCTCAAGAAAATCTAATTTGATTTTGCTAACAACTGCTAAGAAAAGAAGAATGGAGAGAGGACTTAATCTGTTGTTTCTTGAGTCATTAAAGGGCCTTTGCTTGTTTGTCACTGATATTACAGGCGCTCTGTTTATGGAATAGCACCCCAAAGCGATTGTAGTAAGGTGTTTTTGCATTTCCTAAATATGTCAAAATGAAATGACGTGGATTTAGAGGAAACGCCCTGGTGTGAAGTTTTTAGTGTTTTGATTTGATGTAAAGAGCTGATGTATGTACGTCTCTCATCAATCATGCTGGTCTGGACTTGAGGTATCTGGTCTTCATCAGAGACTTGAAAACATTTTGTTTCAGAGCGACGCGACAATTCTTGATAATGACCACCAGCATGAGCTAGAGTGAAAAAGCAAAACAAACTTAGTAATGATCATGGGGCTCCAGAAGTGAAGCACTGTTTTTTATGTGTACATTGCTGACTATAAACAGGACAGTTGATTAATGTTTGAGTCGTGTGTGTACCTGTGTTTTCTTGCGAAGTACATCACATCTTGTTCGAGATTTGGAGGACAGAAGGTGTGTTTCAGCATACCTCTGCCCTCTGGGGTCACCACAGCGCCCCTGCATGAACCCCTCTCTGCAACATGTGTTCAACATGTGGGCATCTGGCCTGTGTGTGTGTGTCTGTGTGTTGGTCATTTGTGCAGCACTGTCCCGTACAATACAAGCTGCAAAGTTGTGTGTTTTGGCACATTCTTTACTCAGAACACTTTTCCTGTTTTCTCTTTCCATCTTAGTTTATGTTTATGTTTGTGGAAATTAATGAAGCGGTCTATTTGTCATATCCATGTGTTTATGTAGAGTGTGTAAGTGCGTGTGTGTGTGTGTAAATTAATCTGTATTAGAACACGCAGTAGGGGGCTGTACAGCTGCTGGTTCAGGTCCACCTACCCTTAGGGCTGCAAATCAGGGTAATGATTTAAATGGGGCCTCCCTCCACTCTTTCTTCTGCACCCACTTTTTTCCTCCTTTGTTCTCCTGCATCTACGCACACAATCACACACACACAAGGCAGACCCTGTACCCCCCAGATCTCTGACAGCCCAAGGCAGTTAGGAAGCACAGTTCAACCCTGTAGATCAATGTGCCGTAGCAGGGGTCTGCAGGGGTCGCGTCTTAAAGGTAATAGTTAATCACCGAGTGCTCAAAATCAGTTAACAGTAGTGAACAATGACAGAGGTGGGGGTGTCTCTAAACTAATATCAAAACCACCATCAGTTTTAAATTAGGCTGAATAAGGGTGATACCACACATGTTTTGTCCTTATTTATCTCAGTGTTGTATTTAACAGAGTGTGTGTGTGTGTGTGCTCTCATGTTCTGACTATTTGTGTGTCTGCTTTCTCTCCAGAACATTCCAACTTTGGGAACAGTCGCCATAACGATGGCACTGCACAACTGTGACGAGGTGGCGGTGGCCGGTTTCGGCTACGACATGAACACGCCCCACGCACCTCTGCACTACTACGAGACTGTAAAGATGTCTGCAATTAAAGAGGTGAGTTTTTTTTTTTTTTTCTAAATTCATTTGTGTTGTGTGTGTTATGCAACGTTCTACAGTTGTACGTAATCAAAGCATTATAAATAACCAGATTATTTCCCCCTCGAGAATGTTGTGATGTGCAGGGGTAGAGGGTAACTGGCCTCCAGCCAAAAAAACATTCACTGTGCAGGTTGATGGTGATGTGAGATGTGTTAAAGAAAAACTAGAGAAACAACTTACCGCAGTGTGCTGAAGTGTAGCTTGGCTCTATACAGTATCTGTTTAAACATGTGATGCTGTTGTTTTTGACACACTTTCAATACTTTAAACAATCATTTTCCAACGTAATATTTTGGGCAAATATACCCTGGCTATCAACTCTAATGAATTAACCTTTAATGGGACTAACGTGTAAAATAAATAGAAATAAAATACATTCTGTTGATGTATATTTTAGGAAGTTGTGTTTAAAACCAGAAGTGTGTTTATCATAAATGCAGACTTTATAAGCAAATACTAATATAAATATAAGAACTCTGAAAACCACTTGAGCATTTGTGTCATCATCCATAAAAACAAAAATGAAAACTTATAACATTCTGACGATAAATAGTAATTCTTTCAAATTAAAATGGCACTGTTCTGTCTGCAGTCACTGTATCCACATGCTAACTGCATCTTTTGCACACGAGTTTTATTTTTTTTGTTACGCCCTCATGACGTCTCTCCTCTCCATCGCTCATGTCTTCCTCTCCGTGTTTACACTGAAGCCCCATGGAATCAAAGATGTCACCCGTATGATGACACGTGTAAACCATGAGCTCAGTATGATGATAACCTTTGTCTAAACTCTCAGTGAACCGTTTGGCATTTATAATCATCATATTCATCAACACTGTCACCATCGGACACACGTGGATAATAGATGGAAATACATTTGGCTTTTTTTGTTTGGAACACGGAGCCACTTGGTTTTCTGGGAGCGCGAAGACTCGCCTGGGTTTCATTTCTGAATGTATGATTAAAATCACAGTGAGATTCACAAAAATAATAATAAAATGTTTAACAATGACGTAACTTGGTGACACTTCTATAACCTGTAGTGTATGTGTATCCTCAATACAGTTAAATTAAGAATAAAAACCAAGTTAATGAACTTAAAGCTGCAATGATCAATATTTTTATATCATCTATGCCCCAGATTTCATGTTTTAGCCTTTGTTTGATTAAATAAGACATGATACAACTGTATTGATCCACAATGGAGCTTACAGCAGCAAAGACATTACAAAAAAGGAAAAAGAAGACACAACATACAGACTCAGGCCTCTTTCTCCTCCTCAAACAGAAGTGTTTTTCAGATCATGATTCTGCAGCAGCGTCGTAACGGAGCTTCATGGTCATTGTGTCTTTATTCTTTGGTATTGATTCTGCAACAGCCTAGTATTGGTGCCCCAGTCTGTAATTACACATTGTGTTACAGTTTCTTTACACGTCATGTTTCTTCAATGCTGTGAGAGCTCCACATACAAACGCACACACGGCGCTGTTTTCCACCCGCGTGCTTCCGTCTCGCCCCTAAATGCCTCTGTCACTGTCAGTAGCTCCAATGGCGGCACAAAGCCCTTTTCAGACTGCCAGTTCAAATCATGATATTAACGCCCCTGTGGCGTCCCTCCTTCAATATGAGTGTCACAGAGGCGTTAAGGGGGGGACAGAGACTACATCTGTTTTTGCTCCTTAGCTGAAAACTAAACCAAACATCGCCAAGCGTAAACTGCCTACCTTCTGTCAGTTTGCATGCTAGCTAGCTTATTAGCTTCCCAAATGTAACAGACTAAACAGTGTACATTAAAAATAACCCACTGAGGGGGTGCTGGTGGCACAGTGGTTCGTGCGCGCGCCCCTTGTATGGAGGCTGTAGGCCTCCAAGCGGGCGGCCTGGGTTCCAATCCAACCTGTGGCTCCTTTTCCGCATGTCATTCTGCATGCCCTCTCTCTCTCTCTCTCTCTCTCTGGTTTCCAACTCTATCCACTGTCCTATCTCTCCATTAAAGGCCCAAAAAGCCCAAAAATAAATAACCCACTGAGGGTAACCTTACACAGTTTAATGTGTTTCTTACTCCTCTAGCCCTGTTTCTTATGTTATTCCTAAACTGTAGCTTATTGCGTCCCGTGCTGCTGCTGTGACTAACATAGTTGTAGGAGGTCCGACCCAGACAGGCGTAGAGTCTGTCAGACTTATGGGCCTGCAGGATGGACCAGAGGCAGCTGCAGGGCCGAACCTCCTGAAGCTGTCTCGCCCTTCCTTTTCTCCCTCCTAATCCCTCTTGTACGCATCTTCCTCCACCCTGAGCCTCCATCATCTGCGCTCTTAGTGCCTGAATCCCAAAACAGCACACAGGAACCAACAGCTTAAATTACATGTCAGACTGAAGGACTGAATCCTCTCAGCACAGCAGGGAGGAGAGCTGACCTAGAGTGGCTTTACACACATATATATGCTAATGTGAAACCCCATGTAGACTTCAGGAATACAAAAATCCATCAGCAAGCTTACAGGTTTCACTTCTCAAAGCAGCCTTTTTGGGATGAATGCGTGAGGATGCTAATGTAGATGTTGTCTAACATTATTATAGCTTTCACTTTCACATCTCTGAATACATGTGCTCTTCTGTTTCCTCCGCAGTCATGGACACACAACATATCCAAGGAGAAGGAGTTCCTCCGCAAGCTGGTGAAGTCCAAAGTCATCACAGACCTTACACACGGTATCTGAGTTTACACCCACGCCACAGTTTCCTTCAGCTTTCCCCAAAGGACTCCAGAACAGGAAGCTGAGGAAACGTATTGACTCTTAGAGAGAGAGAGAGAGAGAGAGAGAGAGAGCCCTCAGAATCCAGGTGGCCTACTTGCTGCTGGGGTTCTTTCATATCAAAGGCGATCATTCAAAAAAGAAAAGAAAAAAAAGAGACACACAGTTGAGTTTCTGTGGAGAGATGCACACATGTGCCTTCTGAACCAAAGACTCCTGCTGACTGAAGCAGGTGAGGGGGAGGACTGGATCTGCCTGGCTCCTGTCTTTATCAAGAGACAGTTGCAGGAGAGCTCTGCCAGCCCCGCTCTTCAACGTTTACCACTTCCAACCCCCTCGACTATCACATGAATGAATATTAAGAGGTGACATGTCAAAAATGCATGTGTCAGGAGATAGCTCGACTCGCTGGCTAAGCTGATGAAGGGGACAGAAGAGAGGAATGAAAAGCGGAGCGTGTCAGAGAGGCGTGTGGGGATGGGGGGAGTATCAGCGGTGCCAAACGTACCTCGTACAGAGGAGAGGGGCTCGTCCTCTTCTTTTGCTGCCTGAATGTATTCACTTTCCTCAGTGTAAATATCAAGGATTTTTACTGTGCTTTTAAACAAGCTGCAGCAGCACCCCCATTCCTAACCCACCATCCCCCACCTGCCATTGGTCCATTCATTCTTTCTTACTGTCTGCAGTGTTTCCCCTATGTTGGAGTTGTAGCATCGTTGGCGAAGTGGAACAATGTTTTAGTTGTGAGCAAATTTTTAAAAAATTCTTGTCATTAATATAATTATTAACATTTATTGGACAAAATAATCAACCAACAACCACCCTATTGTTGTAACCCGGCTCGTGAGTAATGGCAGAAGACGAGAGGAGTCAGAATTTTACCAAAGAAAATTAATTATTTATTTCGAAACTCGTAAAAAAACCATAATATTAAGCAGCGGTGATGATAGATGCATATAGGGGAAACACTGGTCTTTCCAGGCTCCAAATTAACTCTTGCCAAGCTATGGGACAGTAGAAACATTAGCGAAGATACATCAGTGTTTTAGTTGTCCTCAGACTTTTTATTTACAGAGCAGCTTCTGTCTGCCTGTTCAGCTGGAGAAGTCAACAGAAAGAAGAAGAATTAAACATGAATACAGTTAAATTATTTGAAAAATGTTGTCAATAAAAGCCTTAAATCTGCCTTTTTAACACTGATCTTAGTTATGTTAACCTACACTTAAAAACGAAAGTACCCTGAGAAATTTGGGTGATGGTTGTTTTTTGTTTTTTTTGTTTGTTTGTTTTTTGGGGGGAGGGGGGTTGAGCTCTGCATCCTCCTTTTTCTTCCCCCTCTTTGTCTCTTTGTAAATCCCTCTTCCTTTCGTTCTTCCTGTCATGGGACTGTCCTCATCACTTCATCAGCTGTTGGCCTCGTAGTTGAAGCATCCAGAAAAATATTCAGTTTGTTTGATCCCTTTTTCAAAAAAAACCTCCCGTTGCTGCAGACTTTCTTCTTCTTCAGTGAATGGTGATGATGACAATGAATATATATATATATATTTTTTTGTTTTTGTTTTGAGGTTAACTTTATTTATTTTCTTACAAAGTCCCGATGTTTGGTTTCAGGCAGGCCTGCTTTCTCTTGTTTCTGTTCAGACAAAAAGTCAGGTTAGGATTTAGTTTTGCTGAAATTCACCATCTCGTGCTTCCTCAGAGACGGTCTCATATTTAAGGTTGTGTTGAATCCAATGATGAGTCTGTCATTCATTGGCTCAGTGTTGAATGTTAGTCAGCAGAACTTTTTATTCCTGTGCTTTACGGAGCACATGTGAACACAACACGTGCTCTTTTCTGCATTGTTTATGTTTTTTTTTTAAATATCTAAGTACTGAGAGCAGCTGCTGGCTCGTCATTTCCCTGCTCAGATCTTAAATCAACATCACTTGTGCCCATTCTTTTTCTTCTTTTCAACACATTGACATGCTCTCTCAGTATTACACAGACGCACCTTTTTACTGCCCCCCCCTCCTCAGAAATATGATGCGAGGATGTTGAAATATCAGCCATGTTGCTTTTTGTCATTATCAAAAAGAATGGGTAAGATTATCTTTATAGACATGGTGTTTAATTAAAAACTTAGTCAGATGACTTTTATGGTTTTTAAACCTCTTTTCAGCATCTGCTTCTTGTTTAGAAATGATCATTGCTGTACTCACACACAGAGAGACACACACACACACACATTGCTTTCGGCAGCTCTCGGTGCAGCTTGTGTCACCCAGTCGTGCTGAAGTGTTTCCTCTGGGTTTGAAGGATGTGAATGGATCACTTATTTTTCTATCTCTGCCTTTCTTTGGGATTTTTCTTTCTGAGTGCAAAGGTACATCTGACCATTGCACTTTCATGAGGCACTCTCAGTGCCTTACACCCTCATCACCTGGAAGCTGTAGGGAGGAGTTTGACTTGTTGACATAACTGCAGTTGATCCAGTATAAAGATCAGCTGCAGGTGTCGGCACAGTCACTCCTCATGTGATTTGAAAACGATCCATATCAGCAAGTGTTACGTTTCAGATCAATGACATTATATTTAGTAAAGGACGACTTTGAGCCCGATACTGGTGGTTTTTCTGATTTAAAGTTCATACACTACAATACAAAGGTGACATGACTTCTTGTCTGAGGTTACTTATTATTCTTCTGCAACGCTGCTTTTTATCGCCCTAGTTTTTGGTAGCTTTCTGGTACAGAGGCACTTTTTACAAGTCAAGTAGTTTAGTTTTCTTCTCATGAAGAGCCCCACTCAGCCCGTGAATAACAGCTGTTACAGTTACTTTCTGAGGGCTAAGAAAGGGTTGGATCGGATGATGTTTGGAGCCTTGATCATACTCATGGACTAAAGGTCAGGATGTTTTTGCTCACTGCTGCTACAAATCTCTCCCTTTAGTACACTGGCTTTGTGGAATTGTACTGCCGAATCACTGGAGTACTTATTTAACGATTGAATATGTTTGAAGGTCCTTGAATGCGACAGCAAGTGGGAGTTTGAAAGTTCTCTTGTGTTACTGCGACAGATATAAACATAGTGTTTTACAAAGCTTGGAACATTTCTTGCCTACCTAGCTTCTTGTAATGTACATCAATCTTTGGCTAATGGTTGTATCAAATTTTGAATCTGTGCAATTTAAGTCTAAAAGGCTTCATAAAAAAACATGCCAAACCACCAGTATGGTCTTTACAGCTTTGAGACTGAGCAGATCGTGTGTTGGAGGGAGTCTCTTTTCTGTTTTTTTTCTCTGTTTTGAATTTTTACGAATGCTGGAGGAGTTCAAATGAATTGAACCCAAATCACCTCGACAGAGTCTCTCTTCATTCAAAACAGAATGTATTTGCTTGAACCATTCATCATATTTCTAAGATTTTATTTTTTCATTTCATCTTCATCATCAGCAGGAAGTCAAAGAGGTCAAGTGTTACTATATCTTTTTTTCTTTTTCTTTTTCTTTTTTTTATTTTACATGAAGTTCTAAATGGCTTTCTGCAACACAATAAATGAGTTTGTAATGGATATTTGCCTGTGCATGTTGTCTGCATCTTTTGACTGCTTCTGTGGAGCAAATAGATGTTTTTTTTCACAGCTCGACGACAGTGTGTTTTTGTTTTGTATTGGTCATTTTGTACATACATATCTGTACACTGTGAATTTCCAGTATATATAGTAAATATTTTTGATGTATTTAGTCTACTCTCTGTTTTATCTCAGTTCTGAACATCTTTGCAGATGGATCTTCAGAGCTCAGCATGGCCTTTGGTGCCAAAAAACGACTGGGCCTATAGTTTAAGAAACCTTGTGTTTTGCAGCGTACATCACTTACTTAACCGTCCGTGTGTCTCTTTGTGATGTTACAAACTGCAGGAAAAAAAAGATGAAGGCTGGACGGAAAAGAGGAACAACGACCTGCATGGGGTTTTCTTTTCTAGTCTGAACTCTCCTACCTGCAGAGGAAGTCATTATTCCTGATCCTGCATCCTCCAGACCTCCATGTAAATGTTACTCTCCTCTTCTCTGTCCTCTCACTTTCCTTCCTAATCCTTTCTCTGTTCCCCATTCTTCATATTTTTCTGTCTTTTACCATCTCAGCATTGTGTATTTCTCTCTCTTCACCTGCTCGACCCTGAGGCAGATCTTGTTTCATTGCTGCAGCCGTGAGGGACCAATTCGAGAGCTGTTGCGCACACACACACACACACACACACACACACACACACACACACAATAAACACAGTTATTCAGCTACAGCCATGAAACTCTCACTCACTTTCACACACCACAACATCAACATGAACCAGAGGAGTGTCTCTGAATGAATGAGAGCAGGCCGTCCAGCTGTTCTTGTGTAAGTCAAGTGTTGGTGTGAGGTGAGAGAGCACAAGAAACTGAGGGCCCTTAAAGCGCCACTTGATCGTCCCATCCTGCTGTTAATGGGGTGCCAGAAACTTTTGGTCATGCCTCACAGCTCAGCTACTCTCTCCCTCAGCTACTCTGACTCGACAGATTTCCTGACCTCCACAGGGCTGGATTGAGGATATTTGCCACCTGGGATCTCCCCGAGGCAGCTGGCTGGCCGGCCAGCCGGAGGCGGACCTTCCTGTCCGTCCTACAGACAGGAGTATGAGCACGCCTGCACCTCCTCAGCCGGCGGGCCTTTTATTCCCAGCGACAGGTCCCCCGCCCCTCCTCCTCTCTGAAGGGTTGGAACGGAGGGGCCACGACCCCCGGGCCTGAAATCTATACTCCTCATAAAAAGAGTTGGAACGAGGAGAGAAAACACCCATTGAGACTCCCTTTTTTTCCCCTGTTTACTCAACGTCGGGTCAGCTGAGCCGAGGGAAAACAACATTCCCTCTCCACACTGTGGCCCACATTCTGTCAGTTCACCTTTGTCTCTGGATGGGACACACCTACAGGCCGTCATGCACCTGTGTCACTGAAGGGAGTGTTTCTTGTACTGACAGCCTCTAAAATAGAAGTGCATATTTCTATGAAATATCAATAAGGATAGTTTCAAGATATTTTAGCGATGATGTGAATTGATGAAACTGTCAAGATTTTAAGATTTCAGTGTTTCTGATGGTTTGGCCGCTCTGTTGCCATGGAAACAGGATACACAAAAAGTGAACAGAAAGACAAGTCTTCTGTAGGTCAAAACGTGTATGATTGACACTTCATGTAGTCAGCTGTTGCCTTTAAGATGAAGTTATAGAGAGGAAAAAATAAAGATACCTTTTTATACAACTTTTGCACTTTGCCAGGCCTTCATAAAATGAAAGTAAACAAATGCTAATAAAGGTTTACTCATGATAAGCTCTGACAACATGGCGTTCTTTAAGTGATGCTATAAGAAAGTTTCAGGAGCAGGACCACACCTGGACTGCGCCTCTTCTGGCATTGCAATAAATTCAAACCTAACCCTCTCCCCCTCTTTGATTCTTACATTCTGCACCACTCCCCTCCAACCTTTCTCGCTATTTCTTTTCTCCTATCTGAAGGGTCCCAAAGGGTCTTAGCTTCTCTAAATCGATGACAGCAAGACTTATAACATCCCCTAATTCAGAATCATTTTTTAGATATAATTAATAAATAGATGTCAAATTGCATACTGTTGAGGTATGGTCCTCAATAGTGAAACACTCATGCCGTCTTTACTTTTTACCAGCTGCCAACAATATTCATAGTTGCCACTATGAAATTCATTATAATATATATCAGTCAGGTATTCCCTATAAAAAAAAAAAATCATTATTTTGAGTAAAAAAATGTCAAAAGATGATTAAAGACCTACCTGAAAAAAGTTCCCAATACTTCAACTGACTTCTTCATGTTGCTTTGAATTAAGTCTTTGTCCTTAAAGTTGGTTTGATGGCCTATCATGACTAGGTCTATATTGGAGTGTTTTAGAGCTGAAGTTGCATCAAATGACCTTCTTCAGCTGATCCAGTTTACCAAGTCATGACATTGAAGGAAAAATGGAATTTGGCTCTCAAGCAAACATATTTAATCCAGAATTATGTTTAACAATAAAAAGATGGAAATCATCCTACTGGTGAAAATGGAACCAGCAATGTTTGGTTTTTGCCACGCATCTTCTGTTCTAGTAGTGTCACTATGTTAGCATGCTATAACATTCAAGTAATATGACTAACACAGTAAACGTGTCTGCGTGGTATGCAGCAAACCTTAGTCATTTTCCTCCTTTTTTGTTTTTATTAAATAGGCCTACAAAGCAGGGCACAGGTTTCACACATTTATTCAAAGGAACATTTCAATGTTAAATTGTTAGTGACATGCAATGATCAAAATGTGTTATTCTGAATCAACACTGTACTTTCTCTGCAAGGTAATAGTAGCATGCTCGCACATTAGAATGATAAACATAGTGAACACTGTACTGCTACACATCAACTCTGGTGTCTTCTTTACCTAATGTTAGAATGCTAACACATGAAAGGGGTCATATTATGCTTTTTCTGGTTTTATAGGCTCTTTAGTGTGTTTTCCAAGTGTCCTGTGCATGTTTAGACACATTTATGTGCAAAAATTCAAAGTCCGCTTAAATGCGGCTAAAGCTGTAGCATTAGCTGCATGTAACGCTCGGTTCTAGCCCCCCTCGAAAAAATGTTGCCAGTGTGACGTCTTGTCAGTGTGAGATCACTGATCTAAGCCCATTGGCTCGTTGTGGCAAGCCCAGCAGCCCATTAACTTCTGTAGCACGCCCACAATATGCCATAGCCTGCGGTAGCACAGTAGTGCTAAAGTGCTAATGTTTTTGCTCCCGTTGGAGCCAAAGTGGCTGCATTCCTAATATGGTAAAAGGGGGCGTGACATTTCCGAGACCAATCAGATCAGACTTGGCACAGTGGGGACTCTGAACGTGGGCACTTCAGAGCCTTAAAGAGAGTCAGAACCAAGCAGGTGCATGGAGCGGCAGTACATGAAAACAGACACTTTTTTCGAACTTTAGCTGTGAACATACTTTAGTAGGTACATAGATTAAATATACGAACCCCAAAAAGGGCATAATATGACCTCTTTAAACCAATATTAAGGACATAAAAGTTGTTGTAATATTACATTTCAACATGAAACCACTGCATGTGTGAGCATGTAAGCACACTCAAATAAGCATTTAGCTCAGAGCACCTCAGTTGTGCTTTTTAAATTGACCAGAAATAATACTTAATTGATGATCAAAGTAATCACTGATACGTTTTTCATTGCATAACTTACCGTTTTAGCTGCTCTCCCTTCAGATAAGCACAAGGCCAGAAGGACACACTGAAGTTTCGGCAGTTCACACTGTTGAAGCTTCACACTCTGTTCAACCTTCATCCATCCACATAATAAAGCCTCTAATCAGCCACATGCTGAAGCTTTGCTTTATGATTTGTTTATATGAACAGTGATACAACAAATCTGGAGGACGCCTGCAGGAACGAAACGCTCTGATGAAATGTAAATGACTGTAGATTTATTGATGTTGTATTCATTGGTTGGAGCTAATGTGGAAACATGTTGTTATGGACTTCACCGTTTCACTCTCCAGCTGAAGTCTGACTTTGTCCCACAGATTTGTTTAACAGATTCGGCCTGGGGGCTTTGGACAGTGTGCTGGATGAGGGGAGTTCACTCCTGAAAAGTGAAAACAAACGTTTAAAGCTGGAACCCGCCCAAGAAAAGAAAGGCACCTTTTGGATGGAGAGGAAGCAAGTGGTGACATCAGCGACCTGCTCATCCAGAAGAAACCAGAGAAACCTTGACGGAAATTTAATCTCATACTTAAACACTTTTTCACATCTGGAAAATCCAATCTCATATCTCCTGTCTGTCTCAGCTTTTTCCCTTTAGTATCACCACCCACATTTCAGACCATCCCCCCCCCCCCCCAATAGGTCCTGAACTGGGATGGAGTCAGCTGCTCCAAAAGCTCAGACAGCACCATGTTTCCATGAAAACAGGCTGTGAGCCTCCTCGTGTGCACCTGCACTGTCTGGAGAAAGGACAGTTGGCTTTCACTGGAAACAAACAAGTGATTAAATTCTCACAGTCTCATAACTTCTCAAAAAATCCTCTCATAAATTCAGTTTTTATAATCTTACAAAGAAAATTCCACAACAGCCCTCATGTTCCTGCAGCTTGCCAGAGATTCATGTGCAGCCTTGTGTGTATGTGTGTGTGCTAAAGATGCATGCATGTTGTGCTTGCATGGGGTTTAACTGTGGGTGTGCAAACAGTGTAATGCTGCAAATCCTTCTCACAATGCAGAACAAGTTCATCACCATAGCTTACAGTGATGGATGGTGTAGACACATTTTAAATGTGAGGATCTGTTTGCATTGTGGTGCCCTCTGATGAAACCACACCACCTGACCTCTGATTTAGTTTGTACACAAATTGTCTTGAGGGGATTTTTTTCACTGCATGTTATTTACTTAATTTTTCAATAGGAGGGTCAGCATTATGGATTAGTTTGATGTGTTTTTTTGACATAGGATTGTTTAGGGTAATATCAGGAGGAGAAAATTCAGAAACACAGGTTACAAATACTAGATTTATTATCTTATCATCTGACGGTACATTCCTTCATGTCATGCACCTCAGCTGTGTGCATTGTTGCCATGTTTGTTGCTCCTATAAATAGCGCCGTGGCAGCGACCAGGGATCCTCCCTGCATTTGT